TTGTACGTACATATCACCACTCTACAATAATGGATTGATTGTGGGAGCGCCTTTACTCTGTATAAATAAAATCTATAAAGCCAGTACTCTTCCTAGTTTACGTCGTTTAAGCACGAACACATACCTATAGCTATGTACCAATACAAAAAGGAAGAAAACAATCGCGGACCGAGCTTACGTAGATCACTGAAAATGATACGGCAGAAGGTCGTGTCGCGTGCTGTTGCAAGAGCTTTCGCGGTTCATCGCCGTATCTCTGTATAACATATAATAAGAAGAGCATGAAACAGTAAATTAAGTAATATATGATAAATATAAGAAGGAAAAGAACAGGGGTAATGTCCGCCTAAATTTTTATAGCTCGACTTGACGCTCTTCGCGTCGAATGCAATTTTCTACGTCTGTACGTGCTTATCGCGAAGATCATCGCCGAGGAACGCCATGTTGTGTTTCTGTAGGACGCTGTGACGTCACGCCATGACAATTAAGGTAGAAACTGAGGACTGTCTTTATATAACCGTCCCCTTGGATTTCCGCCGTGGAGCAGACGCCACACCGCGCGAGGAAACGAAAAAAAGAAAAGAGCGTGGCCGACAGTCTTCAGGGGACTTCGACATCAATTACGTTGTGGATACACCCATCGGGCTTCCTTTGCTCGATATGCTTGTGTGTGTATATATATGCGCACATACGTATATAGTTCAGTCCCACCCACTTAGTCTTCACCATTTTTTTCTGGCTTTTGCGATCTTGTCGCTGTTACATTTTTATAAATAATATCTAACACTCGGCCAGACTGAATCGAATGAAGAATCTCACGAAGCAAGGGAAACGAAAAATCAAGTTATGGGAGGTAGTATTTTTGTGGATACCGTCCCTTCAAGGAATCGTCGGCACCGATGAAGCTGATCCAGCGGCAAAGATAGCAGCTCAAGAAGAAGTGGATCTCACGAAAGAACTTCCAATCGCTAACCGAGAATTCTAAACATCGGCCCGCAATAGTATTCGGACAGCATGGAACACCAGCTGGACGAATAACACTGATACCAAGCTCCATAAGATCAGGGACAACGTAGACGAAAAATGACCCGGTATAACCCCACGAAGAGATCAAGGCATCTTAACCAAGCTTCGAATTGGCCACTCAGACCTCACAGCCATCTGATCACTCCCCCGGCGCTAATATGCCAACACGAAACTTGCAACACCAGGCTAACGCTGGATCATATCCTGATCGAGTGCCGAGAACATCGACAGCTTCGATCAAAACACGGACTGCCCCAACCCATGAAAGGCTTAACGACGACACAAAAATTGTAGGGGAAGCGTTAAAGTACTGCCAAGAAGCAAAAATCTACGAATATAGACCCTCATAGAAGCTTCATCACGTAAAACGCTTAGTGAACGTGCAACTGAAATTATTACTTTTGTAAAATTTATTACTTATTTTATTTGTCTTCGTAGTATGGTCGCTAATGACTTCAGCTGTTGATGCGAACGATAAATAAATTGCAAATTTAAAAAAAATCAAGTGATCGAATAACCTCAGAATTATTTAAAACTCCCGGGTGTTATCAGATTACATAGGCTTTACAGTATACTAAAACGATGAGAGATAAGAGAATAAAGTACGTTAACTCTCACAATCACTCTGTGAGACTGTCTCATGCCTGGGAGTACAGTCGGGAGGGAAAGTGGTGATGCCACCGAAGGAATTCGATTGGCTGAAATGTCGGGTGTAGGTGATAAGATACAAGGGGGGTTGTTTGCGATTACGTGTATACGACTATGTTTTACTGCTTAGACTTATGAGCCTGTTATTCCCGGCGTGGACTTAGCCGGTCGGCTTTTAGAAAAAGCATCAGAGCTAAGTCATATTGCAGTATGTAGCTACGTATGTATTTACAGGCGTATTAACGAAACTGAGCAAAACACTTGGATCAATTTATTTTACAACATTATATTCTTAGAAAGTTAGTCTACCTTGTAGAAGGTGTTGGGATTAATTGTTAGATTTCATCGGGACTATCTGATTAAGTTTCTGTATGCATGATGTCATTGTGACTGACAGAATTAAGAATCTTCTTATATGATCTGGATAACTGATGGGAAGTATATATCGTCCGTCTTGTCGATTTGAAAACACGAGACTTCCTCTCGTGCGCACGAGTCTCTCGTCGCGTGAGACAACAAATAAGAACTTTAATCATCGTTATAACTTTATAAGTTAATTTCAGGCTTATAAATTTGGCATGACTAGTTTTAACTGTTAAGAGGACTTCGAGCTTCTTTTTTATATCGTTCTCTTCATTACCCACTGAGAAATAAGAATGTGGCACGTGCATCGGATGACTATCGTGAATGAAGGACCAATCTTTTTTTTTAAGGACGTAAACTTTCCTATAAGTCATAAGGAATTCTATTGCTTAGTACAGTTCATATTCAACGTTAAAAAACATTGTGATCGAACCACGTAGTCACCATTAATGGTATTTCTTGATATGATTATATCCATAAGATGACCTTACGCTCAATTTGTTAAATAAATAAAATTTACATTTTAAGGCGTCGTTTAGAATTTATTGATTTAGATCGAAAAAACAAATTTTACAATCACCCAGCAAATCTTTCATTGTAACTATAAAAAATAAGAAAAAAACTCATAATTCTATAAGATTTCGTGGATTTCTCAATCTAGTTACGTTTCATTGTCACTGCATCTTTTTTTTTTCCCCGATTAAGTTAGCCAGTGTACCACATACTGAATTTACCGAAAGCTATAGAAAGCCGCGAGACGCTGAGCGCGGTTATCAATCGGTTATCAAGATTGAATTATCTGCATTTGAAAGTACGTAAACCTGACAATGACAGTTTGAGAAACCCTGCCTATACCTGTTACAATGAACACCGTTATACGTTCTCTCAGACGTCAAGGTCTCTTGCAGAACATTAGGACCAATTTTTTTTAAATGAGTTTCTTGCGAAAGCAATCGAGCTCACTGAGAATCATATAATCTCCAATCGAATGAACATCCTAAACGAAACTCTTTAACGTGTTACTTTAATCCAACTAATTAACAAGTATAAAGACTGCAACAAAACAAGAAAGTCTTGATAGTTCAAAGACTTTGCATCTTTGTAAAAACATGACGAGAAATGACGTTGATCACGTAAATGCAAGGTGCAAAGCTCGAAAAGCTGCAACAATTCTACGTGCATTGAGCTACTTCTCATATATAGATATACACACACACACACACATATATATATATATATATATATATATATATATAAATTCGTAATAAATGGAAATACGTTAGTGTGAGTACATTAGTTAATAGACGGATAATTAGCTAGATGTGATAACGGTGGTACGAGAGTGATACACTGTTTTTCTACAGGAAATAACATATTCGTTGTGCATTTGATATGCGTTAAAATAGAAAATTGGGAATTGACGTGGGTCCCGTTGGTAGGCTGCATTTAATTGTGATGTTGTGCCTGCCGCTACGACCTCCTTCATTAATTCAATTAGCTCTTATCGGTCGTGACTGTTTGCGACACAGTAATGTATGTAAAATAGTGTTCAGTGATTAACAAGACATTGGTAGATATTCTTGTATGGTCTTATCTATCGAGTAGCAGAGTCGGTTTGATAAATTGCAAAGCTCACTTAATACCTGTTAGGATCTATGAAGCATTAGCTTGTTATATTATTTGTAGAGGTACAAAGTTCAACTGGCAGGAAAGTTTTAGGAGATTCTTGTATTACGTAAAGCGATTGCCCTTCAAGAAGAACGGATCTTGATGAACTTATATTTAGACTAGGCAGAGATCGGACAAGTAAACAGAATAGTTGTTGATAAAGAAGAAGAAGATATTTGAGAGACATTGAATATAAAGATTGAGATTATGAATTTCGTTCACGAATGGGATTTCTTGAACTCCATACACACAATGGACACGCACTTAGTATGAAAATAAAGTTTCATGATTGAATTATATCGAGTTGTCGTTTTACAGCTGCGAGACAAAGAATAAGATGTAATAGCAGCAGTTAGCAGCTCAGTCTTGTATTTCTTATGGTCGTCGATAAGCAGAGTTCATCAATTAAAAACATGACCCCAATTTTGTGAAGCACCTATTGCCAGATTTTGAGTACAGTATAAATTTCATAAAATTTCACGATAACGACTGAATGTGTTATTTGCAAATATTTATAATAAACAATATTCGTCTTACATGATAATTCGAAGAGGACGACCATCTGCGTTTTATTGAGAGACTAAGTCTTATATTTGCAATGCACGACCTCTTTACTTGTTACAAAAGCCTGCATTTCTTTACGGACTAATGTTCAATGACTGAATGACCTTCGACCTTTTCACAAGGCCTTGTACTCAGTCGGCATGTTTTCCAATTGCTGCTGACCCAATGTAAAGGCAGCTGACGGAAGCGAATCGAATATGTACTATGAAGTCAGGGTTACATTAGAAATTGTGTAAGAGTACGATTTACAAGGAGGAAAACATTTCTTACGAAATACGGCTTATACAGTCTTTAGCAAAAGTATTAATCAACTTGTCGATACTGGATAATATGGGCCATTGCTTATTTACGTATTCAAATTACAGCGAAAAATTGACAAATCGCTTATTTTCCTCACACACGTGTAATATTTGAACTTCGAAAAATTACTCGTTCAAAAAGTTTCTGAAGGAAGTGTCACTATCATACTGGATGTAACGTTAATTTCATGTTAAATAAAAATGTTTGCTCAACAGCCTGTCCATTTCATGAAATGCTCGTGACAGTCACCAAACATCCACGTTGTGAAAGGAAAGGGTAAGAGACATTTTAAGTGGCAAGTATTGTTATTCGTAATTGAAAGTATTCCAATAAGTTGTAACAAAATCTTCAAATTAATTATTATAAAAATCACATATAATTGTTGAATGTAAAAAAATGAAATTTTAATTAAAAGTGGCTTAATCTCTCACCTGTAGGCTAAGGACATGCACTGGAAGAGTTTGTTGAGCGAAGTTTCAATGCTGAGTTGTTGCGAGTTTCTGTCAACGGAAGAACTAGCGACGAATTTCTCCAAGGAGAATCCAGCCGGTGCAATAATCGCCAACCTTGCAGCCTCTTCTTCCGGTACAGGTACAGCCAACTCATCCTCGTCGTCCTGTGCCTCAGCTTCGAAGTCCGATACCATAAAGTGTCCAGAGTGTATAGTTTCCCTGGAGTTGGGATTGTCCCGTTTCCCACGATGGACGCCTTGGGGGGTGGCGGCGCCCTGAGACGTCGTCATCACCGTTGCCTTTCGATACATCAATTCGGCCTGCATCCCTGTTGCATTTTAATTGGTGAATTCACTTTATCGCGGGTTACAATAATATTCAAATAAATGACACATCATTTTTAAAGTCGTAGAGGAATTTAAAAAGCGCGCATTTTTTCCCGACCGAACTTGGAATAATTTTGGAACGCACCGAGAAATACCTAGATTCAATGTTCTAGAGGAAGCTTGTACAGATGCTTGGTGACTTTACTTTGCAATTGATTGTCATAAAATGAGACGCACTCGGTAACAGACTCAACAAGTCATTATCGCTACGTCTTGTCTGACTTCGCGAAGCGGATTCGTCTGGATGTATTATTATTTTAGCGAGTCTGATTATTTTGGGAACATATAGAATTCAGGATATTTTTGGAACACTATTATTGGATCGATGTAAATGCGTAATAAAGTTTATATTCAAATTTGGATGCTTGATACTTGCTGGTGGGATGCAACGTGGGAATTTCCGATAGTAACCTTTGAACCGCAACACGTATCCATTTAAATGAATGATTCGAGATAAGAGTGATATGCTTCAGTGTCACTCATATGTAAGAAATTGAAATACGGTTACAATTAATTAAGAGAAATCATCAGTGAAAAGTATATTCCGGATTCAAGATTTTCTTTGTAATGGCTAATAATGCATCCTGCGAGACTCGGAACTATTGAATGTGAGAATAAAAAGATTTGAAATAAAACATGCATACTCCAAGTAGACTATTGATTAATCCATTTTCTTTATCCAAAAGAATCGCACGACGGCATTCAGGACACAATACCGAGAGATATAAAAAAGACGTAATATATATTCCAATGCACTTTGCCCCTTTATTCGAGAATACTACTGTAGTACTAGCGCTAGGTCAAGATAACGTTTTTCAATTCGAATAATATATAAATGAAGATTTTTTTCTACTCTTCCTACAAGAATAACATTGTAATAGAATTTTCATAAAGCTTTGCTGCACTCAGTTTTTATTAACAAACACAAATTCTTAAATACTGCTCACATTTAAATATTGAAATATCGATGTTGAAGACTGAGTATTACGTTATATTGTTTTATACTTTTCCGCAGCTTCATTTTTTGCTTAATTTCAAGGCGCTATCAATTTTTTTTCAGAAATTTTTTGCATAACAGTTACTGACCCCGCCTTCGTGGCTATCGTCAAAGTGTTAATGCCTTGTGATCTCGAGCCTGCTGATATCACTTAAGGCCATCAGTATTTCGTCTCCGATTTCTTTACAAGATTTTTTTTATAAAGATACCTTCCTTCGCGACACTAGTTTCGACAAAGAGGATATTCACAGCTTCGAATCCCATAATTTTAAGGCATGATTTAACTGTACCCTTAAAGTGCTCATAAAACCGTTAATTGACGAAGTGCCGAAACACCGATAAAAAGTCTGGAAAACTTAATAATTTGTTTACTTCATTACGATCACCATCGATAAAAGAACAGGTGTAGATGATATATACAAAATGACAGGTTATCCGAAAAAGATGGTATCTTGAAGAATGCTTCGATCGCTATCGATCTTGTTTTTCATACAATAGTATCGAGGACGCATAGGCATCATTAATTTTCAGATGATTTAACGCGTCACCAGCAAACTGCGAAAAGACAAATACTTTCATGTACGCACAGAAGATAGTTATCCCCTCTGTTCCTTTGTTTACTCCGTTAAAACACATTCATTTACACTAAGTTCTTAGCTCTGGGACTTAAAAAAGAAATTATAGAGAACCACCTTCTCATTCACAAGAATTCTTCAGGTACTGACAAAAAAGGACTGCAACCAGTCTCGCTGCACTTATGCAACTGTCAATCTTCTTTGGGGTATGTCACAACAAAAACATTCCAACGCGCCCGCATGCGTGCAACAGAACCAGAGGAATATCTCGGGGATAGTTCATAAAAGTTTCCTACTCCTTTCTACTTTATATTAAAAACTGTAAGTAGATGCACCTGCCAATGCATCTTGATCTCATATCAATGATGAAAAATTGTTGAGGCTTAAAGAATTTGAATAAGACGCCTACAACATAGGAATCTTCAGAGCAGTGGCGCCTACTGTAGTAGCAGGAGATAAATTCCCATGTAAAATTATCGTGCGATCCGAACAAAATTGGATACCATCGAAAATAGAAATCGGAGCATTGCTGGTATTTACGGGACGTTTGCGATTTGGTAGCCATCGAGTATACGAGGGCGATGTGTTATCTTTAGGTTGTACCGGGCTAGTGCCAGATGTTCGATCGCTTTCAGATAACAACAAACCTTCTCTGGATGAGAACCGTGTACTACACTACACACTTGGAGCGCAGAGGAAATAAAGATCACACCTCGCGGCTTTTATACACTCTTTTACGGTCACTGTGTCAGCCCACGTTTTTTCACTTTTGTATGTCGCGATTCCGTTGCCGTCAGGCTGGGTCGTGGGCCACGGGGCCTGCAAAGGACCCGTACGCGTTACTACGCGGCACACGCTCGATCATTCTGCCAGCACCGCCATTTACGAATCGCGTTGTTCAATGTTACGTTTCACGAACCACAGCTGACCGATGGTGCGACCTGCTCGCCACTTCTAGGGTCCCTAGCCGATGGTGGCGCCTCGCGTGGTTTTGAAGCGTACTACGCGCGGGAAAGTTTGAAATGTAGTATACTAAATTGAGTAGCGTAGAGTGTAATCTGGAATACTGTATTTTATTAAACAATAATAGACTGTTGGATAATCATTTGTAAATTGAAAAACATTGATTTTTTGATGATATGAACTTATGTTACTACTATAAAAACAATATATATAGTTTATTGAGATAAAAAAGTACTCAGAAAGTTGCATCCCAGTCTGAGAAATCATCTGGTGGTATGTCACGCTCCGGAGGATACCGATCAAAGTTTCTTATGTCGAGATGATCGACGATCTAGTTAATTAAAAATATATTCAATAAAACGAGTGTCTTTAGGGTATTGTTGTTTTAGAATATTACTTACCTTAGGTATTAGAGGCGATTTGAGTGTCCGGTTTTGCAGAGAACTCCAATTAAATGAGCTGAACCATCTGAGGAGAAAATAGAGTTATGAATAAAAAGTAGTAGCGTCATTCTGTTGATACAACTCTTATAAGTAATCAAATTAATTTACTTGTGATTCCTTATGTCCATTATTCCGTGACGTAAATATCCCAATCGCTGAGCGGGATTTAGTCGCAGTAATTTTCGAATAAGATTATCAGCAGTTCGCCTAATATCACTAGGAATACCTACGACGTCTATTCCCTTAAGTATCTTATTATACGTATCCAGAGTATCCATTGCTCGAAATGGCGGTCTGCCCATCAATATTTCATATAGTAAAATACCAAGGGACCAATAATCAACGGCTCTGTAATAACAGGAGGTTAATATGAGTAAAGACTTTGAATGAGGTTGTACGTAAACTGTGATACGATTATTAAAACTGACCTATCATGACCTTTATTCAAAATTATCTCTGGTGCCATATACTCGGGAGTTCCAGCGAAGGTCCAAGTCTTATCAGGACCTATTCTTTTACTAAATCCAAAGTCCGTCTGTAGGTAAATAAATTGAAATAATGTTGAACGCGTTATTTAAGAATTGTTTAATACAATTCTCAAAAAACCAACCAGCTTTAAGTATCCACGGTTGTCCAACATGATGTTTTCTGGTTTGAGATCTCGACAAACAATGTCAAGCGAGTGAAGATGATCCAACGCCTCTACCACACATCCTATTACAAATTTTGCTATGGAATCGCTAAAGCATCCTTTTCTTTGAAGAGCAGTACACAAATCGCCACCCAAACAAGCTTCCATGAGAAAATAGACGTACTTGTTATCCTTGAAAGTTTGGTACAATCTAGAGAATTTTTTAAAAGTCATGCTATTAATACTTGGAATATGAAATATACAATTATTAATTCATACAGAATGTCTGTTATTATTTCTAAGCGATTAACAATTGTTATCACCAATATAAATGATTATATCAAAAGTTTTAACAGCATCCAGCAAACACAAAACATAGCTGTTATGTAACTTAGGCTAGAACAGATCAACATGGCATAATAATGACATGAAATCTAGATGTAACTTATTTAAAATTTCAATGTTACTTAAACATAAAAAAAAGTTATACAACTGTAACCTCATTGCTAGATTCAACGACTTGTAAATTGCGCCATCAAAAGTATGTCTGCTAGATCGTAAGGCGTAAAATAATCGACCCGAAATTAAAGTGTATCTCACAAATGTATATATGAAAGTAATACTTTTATACATATAACACACTTCATTAAAAGTGTTTATAAATTGTGTAGCGCACCAGCTTCACTAAGCTTTTTAAGCAACTTGAGTCTAATTATTCAAGGTCTAAAACGCCTGTATCTTATAAAATGAATTAAATTCAAAGCAAACACTATTGTCGCCATTCATGTTACTGTTAAGTAGCTACTACATAGCAATATGAAATTTATTCTAACAGATATAACTGTTACAATTGTAACAAATCTTAAGATGTGTTTGCTGGGATGAAGGTGTTAGATTACAGTAAAAAGTCGTTACATGTATAGACTTAACATTGGAAATTGCAAATTTCACAGTAGTAATATGAAACAAGCTGGCAATCTAACGTGTTACTTTTGATTTCATCAATGTTACATTACGATTATGTAACTGTGTTTGCTGGATAAATAACGAAAAGTTTATCTTTGCAGAGTAACTTTAATCGATATTATCAAAAAATCGCTTACTCGCATATAAACGGCGACTTGCAAGCTTGCATAACATATTTCTCATTATAAATATGTCTGGCGTGTCCCCTATGTGAAATTGTTATTTTCTTCACTTTCTTCCTGGCAAAGCTCCTATTCGGAATGGATTCAGCTACGACCAATTCGACTCTACCAAAGGAGCCTGTACCAAGAGTGCCTATGACTTTCAGATCAGAAAGTTTAAGTTTCAGGTACTCGCTGGTCCATTGTATATTCAGAGATCGTCTTCTCAGTTCATAATCCTCGATCCAATTTTTATTTTTAATTGACTCAACATCGCCAAGATAATTAATGAAGGATCTGGAAACATCTAGCAACGTAATGTTTGTCTGCTGTGTGAGGATGATTAAAATCTATGTATTTATGTATATACCTACTCTCTGTCTATTGTGAAGCATTCGACGCCAGGTGGCATTGCTATGACGTTAGCTTGACGACGTTTATCGGCATTGTCGTAGAGAGCCTTTTCGCCAAAATATTTTCCTTTGCCAAGAATTAGGGGCGACTCGTTTTCGCAGAAGTTTAATTTGACCATAACATTACCACCGTTTATTATGTAGAACTTATCGCCCAGCTCGCCCTGGCGAATTATGCACGCGTTTCCTGGAAAGAATTCCTGCCAAGTAAATCGTGAACGATCTTCATAAAACGTCCCAATGTATACTCACGACATTGATCAGGTCGGATATTTTGGCGAGGACCTGATCCGGAAGACACTGCAGGATTGATATTCGTCGAAGAAGACGTATGTTATCCTCTACATTTAATTGGGCAGATTTTATCATTGCCGCCATAAAGGCTGATCTGTCTATGACCCAAACCTTTCCACCCTTTTTTACTACAAATTTAAATCGCTTTATTAAAAAATTAATTTATTTTTCCTCTATGATAATTTACACCAGTATAATTATATTGTTCACCATCGATAGAGCGCATCCTCTTCATATTGTAGAGCAAAGCAAGCTCACCAAATGCATAACCTGGTCCAAAACTTCCTTGATAATCTCCACCATCGTATACATCAAATTCACCCTCCTCCGAGACATACAGATGAGTACCTGTAATCACGATTATTTGAATAGTGCAGAAATCAATTAAATTTAGAAATAGAATTTACAAATAGAATACTTAAAAAAATGTATTTACCAATATCACCCTGCTTTATTATCCTAGTCTTCGGTGGAATTATTTGTGGATACATTGCTGAGATAATCGCCTCAATTTGAGCGTTATCTAAATTACTAAGAAATTCATTTCTCATAATGGCCTCCTTGATTCTGTCCCGCGTTCTGTGAATTGTATATAAACGTTATTGGGTTTAATTAAGAAAAAGAAGGATGTTAATTTATTTCATGGGGGTTATCATTGCGACAAGTTTTTTTCAGCTTTCTTTATTTCTATTGTACATACAGCAAAATTTTGGTACTTATTAGATTTAAGTAGTACGCAAATGCTTATTTGTTTATTAAGTCAAGAATTTATATATAATATAATTAATAGAATAAAGTGGCTATTTCGGATCAGCCCCTAATTTGGATTTAAAAATTTCAAATGTTTCCCAAGTTATCTACATCGTTCTTAAATGAATTATTTTTTCACCACCGTCTGCAATCACACCTATAACATCACAATAAATTTTTAAGTTGGTACAAGTTGCTATTGGTAATGGACATGGCGTCTTCTAAATAACGGTCTGTGAAGTTAGTCTTCTGCGCGATCAATAAAAAAGAATTAAACAGAACTACGTAATTATGTTTGTTTTTACATAACTACGTACTATTTTTCAATGAAATCTGCCATGTATACGTTGTAGATTACCCCGAATCTACTTTTAACGATAATTTGACCAAACTTTGTGTATAGAAGAAATGTGGAGAATGGTGAAATAGTATATTACGATACAAGTGCGCAAAGTAGGTGATTCCCGCAAGAGTCGGGTTTGTCGCCCGAGCGTAGCGAGGGTGACGAAAGAGACGAGTGCGGGAGACGCCTATGTGCACGTGTATCGTATACTATTTTTCCTAACAAGCTGCGTAAAATTCGATTTTGCACACGCGTTTGACAGTGCGGGAATGAGGCACTTTGCGCACGCAAACCCGTGCGCAAAATTCGATTTTGCGCACGCTGTTAGGAAAAATATTATTGCCCAATCTGCTTTTTGGCCTAACCTCTAGTCGCGTATTAACGTACATGTCTCTGACTGTTGAGGACCCTTTGAATTTATCTGTACTATTGTTATTTAGATGTCATAATAGTATATTTTATTAGATCCAAGATATTTGGTCCATATACCTAATTTAGATGAAAGATAATATTTCAATCTAATCTGAGACTAATCCGAAATAAGTCAGCTGATAAAAAATCGTTTCAAAATTTAGAGCACTGTCAAAAGTTCCGACACCTTAAGCAAAATAAACGGAATATTTGATAAGAAATCAAAACCTAGTATCCCAATCTAACTTACGATAATTGACTTAGTAGATCATTACACCACGTGACTAAAAGCAAAAGTGCGTATAAACATAGGATTTTCAGCGTGCATACGCTTTTTTAATTTTACTCACATACACAGTCATAGGCGAAGTCGAAAAAAAAAGATCCGAAATAGATACTTTATCCTAATGTGAGATATTTTTTGAATATTTCATTATATATGAATCTTCGACGAACCTGTATCTTTGTTTACTTACTTAACATCCTTTTTATAACTGGGAATTCGCTTCCTCAGTGTATCAGGAACTCCACCGATAACACCGACTTTTCTCTCATTATTAGATAATCTGCGATATACTTCATGACAAGCTTTCCCCGTTTCCTGATATTGATTAAAATTATAAAGTCCACCTGAAGTGCCAAAAACTGAAAATTTCATGATAGCGTGCACGACAATCACATAGTCATTCGATCACCAATATCTCCTTGTTGGTCTCTACGACAGAATAAATAAATAGTATTGTATAAATATTTCAAATTTTTTTACATTTACATATCACAAGAGCATTAGTCAATTTTATATATCATTAACAATTTATAAATACGTAAATACCAAACTGTCGTTATTATATTACAAATAATTTTTATTGACATTGCATTACTCACCAGAAATTTTATTATCTTTGTAGCTTATCCGTATGGATTATCAACGCCGAGTAAAAGACACTTTGAACAAAACAATGATATAATTTTTTAAAGATTTTGAAAAAAATCAAAAAAGAAAACCAAGAAAAAATGCAAGACAACGATAGAATGGAATAAGACGTTGAGAAAATAAACACAATTATAACAATATCGTCAGCTACCATCAGCGAGGCGCAATGTCACGAATGACACAATCGACTGGATCGATTCTTCATCGGTCAAAAAAAAATGCTTAAACCTTATCTTCGGAAAATAGTAACGAGATAATATGTTGGACATCACTCTTTTTTATCTAACCTACACGGATGAGCGAACGATGCATAAGCTGAACCAGCTGAGCGTTTAGTGTTAATACACTTATATATATGTATATATATTTATATGTATAAATTTGGGCTTGGGCTACGTTGAAGACATTTTCACTTACGTATTGGATACATTGAGGACTGTCCTCAAAGTATTTTCAGCGTAACAGTTGTTCTGAGGATGATAAACAGGTCTGTTATACTTTTGTTCGAATTTTTTCAATGCTTGCTACCCAGAGCTGTAATGCGCTTAGATAGCGTTACGCTAGGTTAAGGTTAGGTTACGCTAGGGCAGCATTCCAATGCTTTGAATCCCAAGGTTTTTTTTTTAAGAAAAACGTATCAGCTCGCTACTGTGAACGCCGCTATACCAATGGCACATATGTTTATACTATAAATAATACAAAATGTTAACCTACCACAATATAATTATCGTCATAACAGGCAACGTATCATACGTATGTAAAATGTAATGTTGTAATTTATGATTTATTTTTATACCTATAACAGAGCTGTTACATTGACTTTATGCATATGAGTTAGAAATCACAGCTGATATGTAGGTTACACGTAACATTACGTTTGTTGCAATTTGTGTCCACTTTGAAATTAATCTTACGATGGAATGACGACGTCGTATTACTTATTGCGAATATACACAAATATTGGATGCCTAAAGCAAGAGAGAAAAAAAAATATATATATATATACACATAACATCTTCAACGTATAGGTAATAATTTTTTATGTTCAAAGTTAAGTTAATTTTTAACTATGACCATTGTAGCTCTTATAGTTAAATTTAATAAAAATAATAATTTATAGTATTGGACAATAACATTTTCTTGCAGTTTTAGGTATAATTAAGTAACTATATCATTATTGCTGTAGACTCATACAATTTTTTTAACAATGTAGTACAAGCCAAAAATATATAATAATTACACATGCACAATGTTAAACTGTCCGACTAAGTTGTACAATAGTCACAAAACACGTGATATGCATAACTATTACATCCCTTAGTATGATACTGTAATATTTTCGATATATAACTGTTACCTATTGTTTACTGGAATGGCATGAAATCAATGGATTGCTCTGCCTCACATATTCGAATTTTTACTAAAGCGCGGTATTCTCAAAATAGATTGCGACTCTGTTCTGCCGATTTTTTTTTTATTTTTTTGTAATTGCTCGTAATTAAGACAACTGTAGATGTTCATCGAATGCTATTGCAACATGCATTACGAGTAAATGCTTCTTGTTCGAGTTTATCTTAAGGTCTTTGTTTGAATGTTTTCTTATAAACTGATAAGATTCTTTGACGTTACATATTTGTTTCTTCGTTTAATCGCACATACCAGTGACGTAATTGCTTACACGTCAACCATTACATTTTTCTGATGAATTGATTGGCCATCGTGAAATTTCTTAAAATGCGATTGCGACTAGATATATTTTATGATATATTTGCTAAGTTCTAGGAAATATCGTGAATCGTTCAAATTCACGTTATTAATTGGAAATAAAAATCACGAAAAAGAGGGGGAGGGGTGGAAGAGGGATACAAAATACAAAAGTACAAGGTAATAAGTAAATAGTGAAAATCTTAAAAGAGGAGTTGTCATATACAAGATTGCAAATGAAAAATAGTGAATGTACAAGTAGTATGGATCAGACATACGTAATGATGATATTAGATTAAGGATGTAGCGAAGAACACCAAAAACTAAGCGGATAGGAACTATGTTAAGGGTTGAAGAAACCATACAATGCAAACAATAAATATTAATTTGAAAGAAAAAGTAAATACAATAATTTTCATTAAATACGTTCTCCGATGACATCACTTCTTATGACGGTTATTTTATGCACGTCTTAATCTGTAACGCCCATTGATATCTCTTTGACAGTTATTAATCATTTTTACCAAATCAGATACCCGTTATCGTTCACATATCGCTCGATAATTTTTACTCGTTTACGAAGCAATACCTATTAAAAATAATCAGACATTCGTCATATACACGTACAAATCGGTTAAAATAACTGACAGGTAAGATTAATGTGCAAATAAAGTGATATAATTCAACGAGATTTTTGTGTCAAGACGCAATTGATTTTATGTATACGAAAATTCTGTATGTTCAGTGTAGTTATGTATGTTCTGTATGTTAAGTATAGTAGCGGAAAAGAAGCATGGTAAATTCAAGAAGGTTGTATTAAAATATATATATGTATGTACAGGATTATTCAATAAAAACGCACCACCTGAAGTTAGCGCGCTCATTTGAGTCCTATGGTAAAGCCATATTAAGGTGGTCTTTTTGGGTTGAATAATCTGGTATACCTATGAAATATCTATGTAATACCATTTCAAGTAGGAAGTTTGAAGTTGCCGAGTCTTGAATGAGATACAATATTTTGATAGCTTCAACATGTGTCATGGAATTCAACGATAATCGAAATATCCAGTTAGGTTATGGAACATAATCACATCTACCGAACGACTTGTACCTATGTATCACTGTAATGTGAAGTAGCTAGATTATTAAGATTCATCTAAGTAATCATTCTATTATTTGTACGTAAAAGGCTCTCACAGTTGATTCTCTCTACGAGCCCAGCCATCGGAATGTAGAATTGAGTTCTAAGAATTTTAGTACCCCGCTAACCCTGTGCTAATATACGAGCGTTGCGCATGCGCGTCGTATCGGTACGTTTTAGTCCTTTACACTATGAAAAAATTTATAGTCAGATTTTCTCTGGATTCATATACAGTCTGAACCAACTTTTCCGTTTTGCTTTTGGTTGAGAGAAAGCTTAGTCAGCTTTAACACGAGACGACTTCTTGAAGAGTGGCGACGTAGAGAGAGCAGACTCTAATTATAATAACTTACAATCTTAACCTATAAATGCTAATCGTTCTGCCTTTTCAGACAATCAATTTTTGTTTTATTTTACAGCAGTGTCTGCAGTGGATTCTTTCTTTTGTTGCTTTTGAACGCGGTAACTTCAGATATCCCACTTCAGACGGGACATATAATATATCTCTATACATGTACATAAATATATACCATGATGAATGACAATGTATAATTACTGTCAAATGAAATTGAATGACTTATGTATATAATAACAATAATACAGATAAATCATTGTCATTCGATTTCTATAATAGCATAGGGTAGCCACTGAAAGACTGAAGGATTTGAAGAGGATTTTGTTTTATATCATTCAGGTTTTTAGTGGCCACCCTGTATACAATTTGTAGTATTGAGTACATAGTTTGTTGAGTTTGTGAATGCAACTTTAATGATCACTTCTCGTCGAAAATTTGTTTGATGTACATGAAAGCTACTCTGTCCAGATCATTATATAAAAAAATAACTACAATATTACCTCTGTCGTTGCATTCTTGATCTTTGCTTGTCTATTATATCTTTCATTGATACTTCAGGTTTGTGAATAATGGAAGTTGGACCCGGTTCTGCACGAAATAACTCTATTTGGTTAACTCTACACAGAACTAGGAGAGATCATGATTTCTCCGGCCTCTTGTTTTGATAATTGCTTATGATTGTATTTTTTTACGAAAAACATAATAGTGTATGAGTAGCACAATGAGCGCTAACTGCTCTAGTTTCTGTAACATATAATTTTGTAAATTACAATTTGCGCTAACGGAGTCAACTGATCCATAACATATGATCAGCAGTGGCGTGGCCCATCGCAGCATTGCAATATTGTGTACGATTCTTTTTAACTAAAACACGATCAGGATCAGTAATATATAACATTGGTTTGAATTTGTTTCACATTTGTCAAGTTTTCTAAACTAAACATGCTAACATAATAATTATTACATGGCTGTTTTCCAAGTCAACTGGTGCTTTAGAAACCGAACTATTATTAAAAAATTCATATTATTTATTTCCGACTGCATTATTCGAAAATTGTAGCAGTTAGTGCAATAACTCTCATATACTATTTTCTTCCTCGTGAAAAATACAACCATAAACAATTGTTAGGTACAGGGGCCGGATAAATTGTAATCTCCCCTTAGTGCCTGTAGAACTTAGGTGCTCTCAAGAACTGGGATTAAGTATCGCCCGATTGGCGTCGGTCAGATAGACAACTAAAAAATGTTTAATTCTCTTTCCTTTCAAAGCAAACACGTGATTGATTCGTGTTCGTCGCACGGATCTCGATAGATGCACGAATAATTGAACTGTTAGGTATGCATCCATAGAGGTTATACTGTGTGTGTAACGCGAAACTCGATTCGGCTTTCTTCGACATTCTTCGGGTGCATCTGCAAGATCGAATGTGATGTCTCTATAGCCGAAATAACGTGACTAAATAAATAATTCGTCTTTTTGCATTAATATTCTTTTTCCCTTCGATTTCAAAACTCTCATCAGAACTCCATATCCCAGCCGGAGAATTCATCTGGTGGTATTTCTCGGTCCGGTGGATATCTTTCGAAATTTCTTGTGTCAACGTGACTCCGTATCTGTAATGAAATAGAGAGTATAGAGAAAGTGCGTTTTTATGATATCGTGCAAGTTTCTTGTAGATAAATTATGTATTTTATTTCTGACCGTAGGAACGATCGGTGCTGGTAGACTTAACCTCTGCAAGGCTTGCCAATTGAAATCCAAGAACCACCTATACGAAAATGAATAATTATAATAATATTTATATAAATATAAAATATCATGTAAATTTATATAAACTCACTTGTGATCTCTGATATCTTGAATACCATTTTTTTGATAACCTAAACGCTCAGACGGACTAAGTCGTAGGAGTTTCTTAATAAGATTATTAGCATTTTTATTAACAATACTAGGTATTCCAACCATATCTATGCCCTTTAGAATTTTATTGTAGGTGGTCATGTGATCAGGACCTCTGAACGGTGGTTTACCAACTAAGAGTTCATGCGTGAGGATACCCAGGGCCCAATAATCTACGGCTCTAGAAAAAAATAATATAAACATAATAATGGATCCTAATAATTAAATAAATAATGAAAAATATACCCAATTTATATTTATAAACGCACCTATCGTGTCCTTTATTCAAAATTATTTCAGGGGCTACGTATTCAGGTGTCCCAGCGAAGGTCCAAGTCTTATCTGGACCAATTTTCTTACTAAATCCAAAGTCCACCTAAGACACATATTAAATATATAATAAAATTGAGGGTACAGTCTATCATGAAAAAAAAACCAAACATCTGTCCTTACCAATTTCAAATAACCACGAGTATCTAGCATGAGATTTTCAGGCTTGAGATCTCGATAGACAATATTAAGAGAATGAAGATGGTCCAGAGCCTCTACCACACATCCAACCATAAATTGTGCCGTGTGATCATCGAAATATCTTCTTCTCTGTAACGTCGTCCACACGTCACCTCCCAGACAAACTTCCATAAGGAAGTATACGTATTTGTGATCCTTGTACGTTTGATAAAGCCTGGTGACAAGTAAAGTATTATTCAAAAGAAAAAGTGTTCTGGGCACATAGAACATTTTTGAAAATTTGTATTACGTACACAATGAATCACTTACTTGCAAATGAACGGCGAATCGCAAGCCTGCATAATATGTTTCTCATTGAGAACATGTTCCTGCTGTTGCTGATCAACCATCACCTTCTTTTTGAGCTTCTTCAGGGCGAAGCTCTTATCAGAATCTGAACGAAGTGTTACCAATTCAACACGACCAAATCCACCGACTCCTAGAGTACCTCGCACCTCCAAATCGGACAGAACTAAATTCGAGTAGGCATTGGTCCATTTTTTTGGCGTCAGAGAACGTTTCTGCTTTTCGTATTCTGCTAACCAGTCCTTATTGCGAATAACGTCGAGACCGCCCAAGTAATTTAAAAAGGTGCTATAAGATGATAATGTGATAATTTAACATTTTTATTCATATTTTAAGGGATATAAAACAAAAAATGTTTTTCGTACTTACGTTCTGTCCAAAGTGAGACATTCTACACCGGGAGCCAGAGCAATGGCGTTTGCATGCCTTCGATTTTCACCCGCGTCATCGAAAAGTGCCTTTTCACCAAAATACTGTCCTCTTCCCAGTACCAGTAATTCTTCCTCACCATCATAGTCGGTGTCCTTTGTTATCCTTACGTTACCTCCGCTGATTATATAGAATTTCTCACCACGTTCGCCCTGCTTGACTATTCGCGCAGCAGCTGGGAAAAATTCCTGCACGAGAATGATGAAGTTCATTATGGCTCATAGAGAAAAAATAATGTTCAGATAAAAATTCAGAATACTTACGACGCGTATTAAATCCGAAATTTTTGTAAGCACGTGTTCTCTGGGTTCAGGTAATTTTTGTAGAACGGACACTCGTCTAAGGAATCGTATGTTGGCTTCTAGTCGTTCCTGGGCGCTTCTCATCATCACAGTAAGAAATACGGATCTGTCCAGGACCCATACCTTGCCACCATTTTTCACTGAAATTGAAAAGAGACATTTGTAGAACCAATCTCATAGCTATCTGTAATTCATCATTCATATAGGACATATGTGGTACCGGTTATGGAACGTAGTCTCTTTGTATTATACAGTAGTGCCAGTTCTCCAAATGCTACACCAGGACCAAAACTTCTCTGGAACTTGTTACCATCATAAATATCAAAATCGCCCTCGGCCGAGACATACAGATGAGATCCTACAAAATTGTATATTAATTCCCAAATTTTTCTTTAATAACAAACAAAAGTAATAAATCACAAAATTTATACCTATATCTCCTTCGCGAATTACTTGAGTATTAGGAGGTATCTGCTTAGGGTACATGGCAGAAACCAGAGCTTCCACCTGGTTTTCTTCAAGATTACCCAAAAATTCATTTTCGAGAATTGCTCTTTTGATTTGCCGTCTCGATCTAGAATACCAATGATAATATTTAAATTTTTTTTAAATTATCATTAACACCTTACGTACCTAGAATCTTTATCATAAACGGGCGTCGGAGCCGATGGTGGCGTCGGCGTCCTTCCAATGACACCGCCCCTCGGATTGTGCGTCGGATGTTGTGTCAGCTGGGGCGTCGACGGCTGGGAGGATTGTTGTTGATCTTGTTGGATTATCGGCGGCGCCGGTGCTCTGGCCTTAGTATTAGAGCGTAGCGTCGATGTTGGACCATTTGATACAGTTATAACCGGCACAGGTCGTATCTGCAAGAGAAGTTACAAAGAAATGACGAAAAATAAAAAAAATTACCATAGAAACGATAATACACTTAACAGAGTAAAATTTAATATTTATTTAAATAATTTTTTTCAATAAACTCACCACGCTACTGGTAATATCAATTTCACTGGAACGTTTGTAGCTCATGGCTATTGGTTCTTTTGCGCTGCCATTCTATAAGAAATACAGTATATCTTATTGACTCGTAATTAACGAAAACATTTATATAAAAATATCATTAACCATTTGCCCACTACTCATCCCTGCCGATGAAACATCCTTTCCTGGCAGGGGAGTCAAATTCATGCTACCCCTTTGCGCCAGGATGTTCGGTTTTGGAAAGCACGAAAATCTCATCATGTCTTATTTATCTCCTGCATTATTCAGTGGAAGAGCCGGTCGAGCCTTCTGAAAATAAAAAATTATCTTATTTTTTTATAAATTAAAAAAAAAGAAAATTTCTCTTTCTTCCCTGCTCAGTTCTCATTGCGCTAGGTGTCTCACGTAAACTTTGTCCCAGATCGTTTCATTATCGTACAACTTCAAGGCGTAACGCATATACGGAGCACAAAGAGAACACAAAGGAATCCTGTTATATTATCACAGAACTGAAAGCAAGTGCGAAGCACGTGGCTTATTCTACACGACCAATAGTCACATGGTTATGCTAATGATTCAGCAGGCAATATTGTGTTACGCTGACAGGACTTGTTAACACAATTTCACGTCATTGCTGTGGGCGAGGTATATTTACAAATGAAATAGAAAGAGATGATACCAATTTTTCTAAAATGACTCTGTATCCGAGGATATTTTAAGCTTTGAAGATAATTCACATTGAACAGGACGTTTTTCGAGTTTTTGAGATGACATGGAAATAATATAATTAAAAAATATTTTTTTTATAATTATCATTTTACGTAAAATAATACTGGTCCATGTATTAGGGTGGGTTCATTAGAAATTAGAAAAAGGTCCTAGTACGCGCTGGCACTTTTTGTTTGCTATCAGACTCGCATAACGTACGAGTGACGTCATCTGATAACCAAGATTACACGTAAGCACGAGTCGGTCTTCTTTATGAAAACAAGGCCTTGTGAAATCTTATATTGCAAGATTGCTATTGTTCCTACAGCAATCATAGTGCTAATTGTGATTACATATAATTGTATATATTTAATTATGGTATGCTTGGAATCCTAGACTAGGTTCGATAGTATCGCTTATAAAGTTATTATACGATATTCTGATAAGTTTTCAATGATAAAAAATCGATCGATCATCGATCGATATATTCGACATTATATTTCACGTAAATACAACTTTCTAACTACTTTAAAAACTAGTGCTAAATTCAATCATTTTTGTAAAGTTTTATGCATTGAATAACATTGGTTGAGCGTCATTTGTACTACAGCATGTGTCCTTAATCCAGAAAAACCTTAATTTGCAAAATCATTAACTAATTAACGTTAATTTCCGAAGAGATACATTTTCATGGATTTTTTTCCAACAGTATTTCGCAATTCCTTATGATATTTATTGCAGGACTGCTTATTCTGTTTCTCGAAAAACGATCTACGAATTGATCGTGTAGATAGTTGATAATTTTAACCGTTTAAAAATACTAGCCTGTATTTTTAACCAACGAAAAAAATTTCTTCATAAATAAACGGCTATAATTATTATATGGTTAAGATTATCAAATATTTAGGCGGTGAATTCGTAAAGGCCTATTTGAGAAACAGATTTAGCCATGTCACAATAAAATGGCACAAAATTATATTACTCTAGGGAAAAATTGAATAAGAATGTGCCTTTTTGGAAATCGACATTAATCAGGTAATATTATTGTAAATTCATCCATATAGTTTTTCTGGGTTATAATCACATTTTATAATACAAATCACCTTCTACTGCAATCCATTTATTCCGTAAAACTCTGTAAAAATGATAGAAAATATTTAACACCGATTTATCTAGTGCGAAGCGCTCCAACCTCGTTAATCGATCACAAAAATTCATTTAATCATAATACAGTTTTTTATAGAAAGTTAATTTTATAAAGCTCTATTGGAGTATGTAATTATTTTTTACAGGGTGATTACAGAAGTATCATCATCAATGTCGTCGATCGTCGAAGGTTGTTGATAATTATCAGATTTATGTTTCCAGAAAACTGCACGATAACATGGTGAATATTTCTATCCGATATATACTGATTCCCAGTAATTGAAGAACGATTCAGGTATAAATCAAATAAGTTAATATAGTAATAATGAAAATTGTTTTTTTTTTTTAACGTCAGACATTAAATTTAGCTTTTCGATGGCGCAATTTATCTGAAAACTTATGGTGAACAAGTGTCAATAATACTGAAACATTTTCGTATTGATATTAAAACTGGTATGGAACTGATTATTCATTTCCTTCCTCCTGCCTTACGCGATACATGATTTTTTCCATAGATTAATTACGGTACGCGTTATTAACGTTACGTCTGATTTTTTTCTTTCCCCATTTCTCACTTTGATTTACAAAACTATTATCTTTTTCATATTTTTTTGTCTCGCTCCGCTATCGCCTCGAGGCTATGAGTCGTACTTACGAGACGCAACGCGCAATTATACAAGACGCACTAAACATACATAGTCATTTCTTTGCGTGTAAACGGGCAAGAGTTGTGCCAAGAAAAAATCATCGTGTTTTTCCCACATGCTGAAGAATTCACAACCGGAAGTAGAGATGTACAGTTTACAGTTAGAGTCTTAATTGCATAATTTTCAAACAAATCAAGATTGTGAGAAACGATGCAATTCATTTATTGCTTGAACGATTTACTGTACGTAGATTCGAGGATATTGACTTATCAGTAATGGTTTATCAGTGTCAATAAAATTCTATCGCTATGAAGAAAATTTTAAGAAAAAATCGAATCGATTAGCTGAACTAATTAATTTTGACTTTATCATTTCCGATGGCACAATCGCAATTACAAAATTTCTGCGGAAATTAATTTTTCAGATACTGACTATAGATTTCTGATATACAACAGTATATGGGTACTAAATATGAAAAGAAAGAAAAAAATAGGATTACCTAAAAAATTGACTCATTAACATAACCATACATCTTGATTAGGCATATATTTTCTTCTGAGTTTCGAATATACAGTGAAATTAGAAAATTAAAAAAAATGTTAATATTGTATAAAAAGCCATATCAATGTTTATTCCGAAAAAAGAATGGTATCAAGGCAATATTTTTAGTTTTAGATAAAAATCCAGATGTCATGTCATTATCGTCAGTATGAAAGCTTATCGATTTTCGGTCGATTGATCGACGATAATAGGTTAAGATTATTATGAATCAAGACGAGAAGACTCACCATGCAGCGCCAACGTGTAGATTTAACTTAATAAGGAGAAGCTGCAATATAGATCGTTTCGTATACTGAACTGATGACTTTTCGTTGAACAAAGACACTGAAATCTTATCTATCTGATAACGTGGCGACGTAGTATCAACAGGTATACCTACGTGGATATTGTCTATAAAAAGTAATATAAAGTCTTTCGCCAAGTGTCCCTATTCAATCGGGTTTCATACTAACCTCCTAAACGTGACGTCACTCTTAATAATGTTTAATAAACTCTTAATAATCCTTCTAGAAGTTCAGCCCTTCGTGGCTCAATTGTTTTGCACGTTTTAAAGACAGACACGATTGAACGCTAGGTTATGTAGCCAAGCGCATTTTTTAGCGATCCGTCGGATTTGGCAGTTTTACATAAAAGGACAAAAAATTGTTCGGCATCGTCAAACGATAAGGTAGCGGCATATCAGGTACACAATTCTTTATAGTCGGCATGCCGAACTGCGTTAACCTTAGTTACACCTATATTTGCACTTATATGAGATAAACGATACATTATTGATATAGCTGAGCCAATGACGTAGAATACGTATGACAACCAGGCAAATTTAAAAGTGAAAAACGATCGAATAATTAATCTGTATATCACGCGTTATTTTAATTTATTGTATTTTTTTTTCTAATTTCTCTCCTTTGTTTAATATTTGTACTCCAATTATCGAAGGGGTACGCTTCTTTTTTATCTATATGTATATAGAGATTTATATGGATACTAATCAAATTGACACTTGTAGATTTTATCAAACTTCTTCAGATACAATGTTGACTGTAGTTATAATATTGACTGTACATTGCAGACTATACATAATGTGGCACACACCTGTTTCAACGGAGGCTGCTGTTTGACTTCGGTACGTTGACGTAATCGGGTTACAACAGGGTCGCTGAAAACTTCATGTTTCTGACTTTTCTTTTTGAGTAGAGAACAAATGGCATCATGGATTCTCTATGAAGGCATTGCCGAATGATAATGTTTGATTGTTTCGCTTAAATCATTTATAGAGATATGGATTGAGTATAAGTTGATTAAATTATCTCTATTATTCACTATTTTATTATTGTACGTAGTTTCATTATAGTACTGTATAATTTTCTTCACGTTTATATTTTAATTAATAAGAGATGAAATTTTTTTTTAAAAACTTCTTCGTCCCGTAGTTATTTAGTAATTCGTTTAACACTTCACTGTAACTTTATGAGCACAAACATTTTCATAGTTTTGAGATCACACTATTCGATTATTGTATTCTCTGAAAAATAAATAACAAATAATACAGAGTAGTTTAAAGATAAATTCCAAATAGGTTTAACAGATTTTCGAAATCCTTGTCATTTCGTAAAAAAAAAACACGTCTTCCCACCATTTTTTATAGATAGTCCAGAATCATTTTAAAGTTTATAAATTATGTCAAGGCTGATGATTCATTTAGAAAAAAAATGAATTTCTGTCGTATGAAGAATACGCCTTGCTTTCGGAATGCCAGCTTTCGTGCTACTAACCGAAATAAACGCTCTCCGTTCTGACGGTGATAGCGCTGCGAGTATCGGTAATTATTATCGTTTGACACCTTATCCGAACGATATAACGGGTGAACACTATTTTCTGGACAAACACCGATTTCCTAATAATCCTGTATGCGCCGTGTATTCCTAAATTATTAAACCGCAGAATGTACAATTTCCGTCGTTGAGCAATCGATGGAAAAATTTAAGAAGGATCGTATAATTATAAATAAATAAAAGAAATTTCCATGAAACGAAACACCGCATAAGTCACGTAAAAGAATTTGCTGACGAAATAGTTATGACTTTGGATATTTATTAGGTATTTACTTTACACCGGCGTAACGCGGCGCATTATGTACACAAAATGTAAATCTATAATACAACGTCTAACACTCCGTTAACATTAGAAAAATAGTTCCACGCCTTTGTCACACTTCGGGAACCTATTAACGAGACAAATGAATTATGTACATAGAAATATGGAATATTTTCATTTTCTATTGGTAAAATAGACGCTTAATAATCTCGTTTTTTTTTTCATCGGCTGTCCAACCTTCCAATATATTTCGGACAGTCGTATTTATATTGGACCTCTCTAACTTAATTAATTAAAATACTGAGTATTTGGATGATCGATATATCATCGATGGATTGCCGTAGAAATATTTTTGTCATGTTAGGTTTTTTCTTTGGTGTCTTCTGACGCTCTCAGCATCGCTGAGAAAAAGCCCATTGGTCTTCTCATGAGATCCTTTGGTGGTCCATCTTCTACGACTTTACCTTCGTCGAAAACTATGACCCTGTCACAGTCTAATAGAGAAGCGACTCTATGCTGAAAGAGAGTAATAAAGTAATAAAGTAATTTTTTTTCCTTAACAAATTTAAAGGTTGTGAGTCAAGTTAGGGGACCCATATCGCGTTTGGTGTTTATGATCGATAGGCCTTGTCAAAAATGTGTGTAAATATAAGAGTGTCAACAAACCGCTATTGTGATTACTGTTCGACTTTTGAACGCTAATGAGGCAGCACGTAGTAATGACTGTTCTGTAGTTGGATCCAAAGCACTAGTTGCTTCATCTAAGATTACAACAGCAGATTGACGTAATGCAGCACGCGCCATACTTAAAAGTTGACGTTGACCAGCTGAGAAGTTTTCACCACCTTCTCGTACTTCAGAATCTGTATAAATATTGATAGTGATGTTCAATGCAGTAAGTATAAATATTAACCAGGTATTCTACTTATGGAAAATATGTTCACTTAGTCCTTCTGGATGAGATGAGATAATATCTTTTATCTGGGCCAATTCCAAAGCAGACCACAGTTCTTCATCCGTATGTTGGCATAAGGGGTCTAGGTTTTCCCTGTAAAAATTATGTTTCTTTTAAACCGTGGGAAGCTTTATAAAATATTATTCTAACTCGAATATACCTTAGATACGTACCTAACCGTGCCGCTGAACATAATGACATCCTGGGGAATAGTGGATAGTCGTGATCTAAGGGTACGTAGAGGAACCTGACGAATATCGATACCATCCAGGAGGATACGACCTTGATTAATTTCAACCAACTGAAGCAAAGACATGGCTGTTGAAGACTTTCCGCTGCCGGTTCGGCCGCATATACCCAGCTGCGATTATATGAAAAAATAACATTCTTAGCAATTCACTTAAAGCGGCAAATCTAACGATAGAAACTTATGATAAAATTACTTTTTGACCAGGAGGTATATGCAAGTTAAGATTCACAATCACAGGCTCTCTCTGAGGATCATATCTTAGTGAGACAGATTCGAAAATAATTTCCCCCTTACTGGGCCATTCCTTTGATACACTGTAACCTACAAACACGTTGCTTAGAATGACATTTTTAAATATTAAAAATAATGTCACTTAGAGAATGAGTTTAAGACATTTTACCATTCTCTCGATAATTTTCTTGTGGCGTTTTTGTATAGGCAGATAGACGCGCTACACTGCCCATGTACATTTCGATTTCGGAAACGAATTTGACTACCCAGTTCAAATATATTGGCACTAACAAGGTGTAATTAACAGCTAGGCCAACAAGGGCTGGAGTAACACGACTGGGATACAATTCAGCGGATATAATTGCAGTAAAAATTGCAGCTATCACAATAACTGCACCTAAATAGTCCTAAAATGTGGAATAAATAATTAGGTTTATGTATCGACTAAATTATATCTTATTCAGTAGGAGTTTTCTTTACCAAAGCAATTCCCAGCCACCTGCTACTCGTGTTCAGAATAAGGAATGCATTAGAATTTGAATCTAAATGCTCGACCATGTCTTCCATAAATCGCGATTGCTGTTTAGAAGCCCTCAGTGTTGTGAGACCAGCAAGTGTCTCAGAAAAATGTGCCGAAGCTGGACCACGAGTGCTAAAAACAATAAAGTAACATTAATTGTTATACTAGTTAATGTTTAAAGAATTACTTTTACCTTCCGTCAAGTCTTTGAAGTTCCCGTGCACTTCGCCTATAGAAACGTTGCAGGAAGTAATAAGCCATACAGGTTGGAAGTGCGGCAATCAAAAACCAAGGTGAAATTATGGCATTGACCAGCATGGCGGAGCCGCAAAGAAGCATAAAAGCTGTGAGTCGCTGCACCGATGTAGACAATTTCTATATGAATTAAAAAAACCATTGAGTAATCATGAGTAACTTTGGAATTTTATATGTACGATATACCTTATCAATAACACCCATATCGGCACTGAATCTATTTAGTATCCTTCCGATCGGCGTGTGCTCGAAAAAAAATAATGGAGCCTTGAGAAGACCTGCGATGGCTTCCTGGTGAAGACATCGACGAGCTCTTGCACCAGCCCATTGTCCAACTCCATTATAAAGAGCCGACAGAAGGATAGATCCTACTGATAGGGCTATGTAGATTTTGAAGTAAAAAACCGTCTGCGAACAAATTTTTCCATAGCTTAACCATGCATTTTTTCTGAGTTATTAATTACTTTATTCTCTTAATGTAACTCACATCTTCGTGTCTACGTTTGAATGAGTTCGGCATACTTCCTTGATCTGTCCATCTACTCAACCATAAATCAGTATAAACCCGAAGTGCCTGACAAGCCAAAGCTGCAGCAATGTAAGTGAGACCAGGTCCTATACCGCCAGCCTTTAAATAATCCAGCCATACCACAGAAGTGACCAAACCACTAGTATCTTCGCGAAGATCTTCTCCTGGATTTAAATGATGAGAGCTCGAGTTTTCTGAAAATATCAAAAATCAAATATTGAACCATTCTGAAATGGAAATTAACAGATTCATTTGTACTAACTATCATCCTCGTCGTCCACATCATCGACGATTCCAGACTCCGTAGACAGAAGCCTCTTCACGGGATGATGATCCCACTCTTGCGTTGGGGTACTTCTGTAAAAATATAATACCTCTTTACATTTTCCATAAACTGTACACAATATCGTAACATGCGGAACCAAAGAATTTATAACGTCGAAACACGAAAATCATGCGATCCAGGCAATCATTTGAAGATGCGCCACAAGTCTGTAAAACATACTTGTTCGTGTTTGTAGACATCAGTTTACGAAGTACACTTCGTTCCCTACTAAGTGTAGCCTCTTCTGAATTAAGGCTCACTATCCTGTAAGGCGCGTATATGTTATAATAATAGTCATTAATGATTTTAAGAAAATTTCACATACCTCCCAGAGAAGATCTGCTTGAGCATACTGTTATGCTGGCCATTGTCAATGGTATTGTATCTCTTCCTAAACAAGTAATTAAAACAATGAAGCGAATGACTTTCAGTATATAATAATGTAATGATATATTTTTATAATTACATGCAACATACCTAGGAACTATATAATGACTTTCTAATATAGTGGGAGTACTACTCTGTCGCAAGACTGGTGGTGGATGTTTTGGTGGCTGAAGACTAGTGGCTCTTACAGCATTTCGATGTTTTTTTGATCTTCTTCTAACAATTCCCCACTCTTCGGTCGGTACTGGAAGATCAGTAAGATCATGCGCAAGGTATCTAGAACCTAACAATGTAGACCTTCTCATTCTGAGTGGGACGAAGGTTGGCGGTGTCTAAAAAAAAGAAATTAATGAATAATCACGTTGTAAAACAATTATAAGGGTTACTGACCACGTGAGCATCTTGATCAGTGCTCCAGGAGCCATCGCTGGTATGTCTATGTCTAACGGTGATACCAATCCTTGATATCAATCTCACCAAGGACCACCGATCTCTAGCAGTTTTGTGTGCTCGATGTTGATCGTCCTGCCTACGCGCAGCTTCCTTCCATTCAGCTGCCAATTCAGGATCGTGATCTTCGATCCAAGATCTAGATCCTACTGCACGAAGTCTACATCCTTCCATAGCTACGATCTACAATTACAAAAAAAAAAAAACAATTTATATATTGTATTCGTGTCAATAGATTTCTACGTATACAATGTATACCTGCTCGGCTGCAGACATCAATTCTAATCTATGGGTCACCATGATCACGGAACGACCTCTTCTGAGTAAGAGTCTTTGAATACCATGGTCAAAAATTTGTTGCCCTACTTGTTGGTCCAAGGCCGACAATGGATCGTCCTGAAAATATGAGCTTAGAGATTCTGTTCACAAATAGGGATAGAGGAATTCGGTAATAATAGTCAAACCAAGATTATGGTGTCAGCATCGCTATAGATGGCTCTGGCTATTGTGATCCTCTGCTTCTGACCACCGCTTAGATTTATTCCCTTTTCTCCGATCCTTGTCAAGTCTCGACCTGGCAGGATGTCCACATCAGGTTGCAGAGCACAGGCTCTCAGAACACTACGATATCTTCTAGGACGATATTCAGAGCCAAAGAGGATGTTATCCCTTAGTGTTGCGTTAAGGAGCCATGGCTTTTGTGCTACGTACGCTACTTTCGTACCCCTGATGAAAATATCGCTTAGGGAAATGATCGGTACCAGTCCAATAGTTTGAATACTTACTTGGCCCATTCGACTCTTCCACTAACTTTGGATATTTCTCCAAGTATCGCCGAGAGTAAGGACGTTTTCCCACTTCCAATTCGACCAACGACCAGGGTCAGTTTACCTAAATGATTATTAAGATGTAACATTATTCTTGACAAGATTTTACATTTACTTAGGATGGCATTATTTTACCTCGTGGAAAACAAAGATCATTAACTATTAGCTGATTGTCCTCGCAACCCCAAGAGAAGATCCCGTCCATCCTGACTACAAAATCTTTGAAATCGGAATCTTTTTCAAAAACCGTATCAGAAGATGATGCATGAGTTAAGTCATCGTTTATATTTAAATGACAGTGATGATCCTCCTCTCCTTCTTCGATGTTGTCCAAAGAACCAAAAATTAATACACCCTGAGTGTTATTCGCCTCTGCCTAGATCAGTTAATGGATAACAGTTTTATTTACTTGTATTTTTCTTATTAAATAATATATACAAATATAGAATACTCACGACGCTGCCGATAGAATTGTTTTTGGAATTATCAATACTTCCAGTGTCATTTACTTCCTCATCAGGAAGTATATTCACAGCTTCCGGTAGGAGCAAGAATTCCTCAAGTCTCGTCGTCGAGATCTGCAATGTGAATTTCAGTGTCCACAGAGCTGTTTCAACATGGCATAACGTTAATTTGTAATTACCATTGCGTTTATAATAATGGGAACTATAACGGGGAATATGAACAGCGGTACAGTCAGTTGTGAAAATAAGGCCAGACTGGCAAAGACATTTCCAGCATCCAAATGTCGTTCTTCCACCCAAAAGTAAACGCCGAATGTGAACAGAGTCATCAGAACTGAGGAAGCGTGCGTAAGAAAAGCTGTAAAAAAAATATAAAGTTAATAAATCACAGAACGTGCAAATATTCGTGATATAAGTTTAGAATACTAAAACCTACTAATCAACGCCCAGTAGAAAGAATCCTTGTCTAATAGTTTCAGTTCCTGATTTCTAGTTTGTCGGATTCTATTTTCAAAGAGATCCTCCCATGCTCTAAGCTTCACTAAACGCATCCCCTGAAGAACTTCATTGACTAGTCTAAGTCGTGCGTCGCTCCTTTCCTAAAGAATCATTGAAGAAATAAAAAATGAAATTATATTCAAATATATAACCTTACAAAATTCAAATCAATGGAGAACGTACTGTAATTGATTTTGAGTTGATCGACATTTTCTTTCCCAGATATAGCTGCATTGGAGTGACTATTAAGATGCAACAGACTGCACCGACAATAGCACTGATTCCCAATTTTAGATAAAGAAGAAAAATTATAGCAAAGATCTAAAAGAAGTTACGATGAATTCCAGTTTATTTTTCTAAAACATATTCATAATAAAATACCTTCAGTGGTACAGCCCAAGTGTAATGGCCGATCCAAAAGAAGCTCATTACGTTGTACGCATCTTCGGCCATTAAATTTGTTAGTGTTCCAATGTCTGCCGTTTGATGACGCTGTACGTCCTTCTCTTTTTCCTTTTCAGGTGGTTTCTCTTCCTCGATAATACTCCACGAGCAAAGTCTTAGAGCTTTATCATACACTAATGCCTATTTTGTTTAATTAATAAGCAATTAGATGTAAATCAAGACTTTCTGATATAGATCGTTAAGATGACCTGATATAGCGATTAATTAAATTTGATTAACTTTACATACCTGAAGAGCTGTTCTGAGATGAATACCTTCGATATTTAGAATATGCGTCGACGCCTGGCTGAGTGTACTTTGTAAAATGACCGCAAGAAATATCAAAACCCCCAAGAAGTATCCATTTTGAATTAGTTGATGAATGGTAACAAAATTCTAAAATCCAAATTACCATCACAATACAATTAACAACGCTTTATATGCTCACTAAATTTTTGACCTACCCCATAATTAATATTACGATGACCCACAGTTGAATTTTGAGTAGCAGAAATATAATCAATAATTCTCGAAATGGCCATTGGTCCCACAAGAGTCGTAGCATCCCCTAATAGCTTAAGAATGCCGCCAATAGTAAAAGAAAACCAAACTCGCCTCCAGAAGCATCTCCATAAAGACAACTTGCCATTTTTACATTTTTTCTGAAAAATGAGTTACTCCTTAACATACTTCATAATTTTTTTCGGAAAGACAGTTCATCAAGAAAGTACATCAGGAACTTCTTACTTTCTCATCCTCATAGATGCTACGAAATTTCTCAAACTGCACCTTGGTAGTTTCCGCTTCCGGTAACTCACCAAGGTCGAGTAAATCCAAGGGCGCTTGATACCCTCGTGCCAAAAGTTTGACAACCCAGTGAAAAGTGAGTCTGCTGAGTAATGTAGAGCTATCATGCTGGTAGGAAGTGTGTGTATGTTCGATGTGACGTACCGTGTACCGTTTACTCCTTCGCATCTAAACACGTCAAGAAAGTCCAAAGTTATTTATGAGAACGTAAACGCCGCAAGGTTATGCTGTTTAGTCCTCGAAAATTTTAGCGTTGCAAATAAACGTCACGGCGTCATATAAAAAAATAATATTTTCAGACAGTGAATTCGCTATTTTCCAAAAAAACTCTATTCAAATTTCCCGCTACAGTATACCATTCTAATCTACCTGCACTAATTAGGCATACCTAAAAATAGAACAGAGTATAAATATGTCCGTCTACGTACACCCTCGATATTCGAATTACACAACAGGATATAAAAATAATGAGACTATATAATTGAGTCCAGGATCTGTCAAGGACAAAACCCATCATGGATGCTGTGATCCTAGAAAATTAAGGTGGTTCAGCAAGACCTCACCGTAACGTTAAAATTAGATGAACCTGTAGAAGATATCCTGAAGATAACCTGATATCTTTAACGGCGTCATATTATATGTGCCATTAAATGATCCATTATACTCTGCAATAAACTCCGATTAAGGAAATTCAAGTTCCTATACATCCACTATAAGTTATCTACAAAAAGGTTTAAACAGCTCAGAGTATTAATTAAAAAGCTAATTCAAAGCTTCTCAGAGAGGTAAAACGGCGTTTAACATTTCAACGCGATAAGCACGCGCCAACATATAGTAATAACTATTATTATGCAAATAAGCTTTGCCCTGTCATAAACTGTGTATAATATAAAATGGCTGGCTACGTACTATCCTGGAAATTGTCGATAGCGAGGTACTTACTCTTCCTCTAGCTGTTTAAACCCAGCAGTAATAAGTTTGCGCGTTAATCTTGGCCTGTTTACATGATAACTACTTACGGAGAGTAATCGCCACTAGACGAAGAAGAAGGGTACCGAGGCGTTAGGTTAGGTTTTATCTCGCAACAGAGAGAGTAGAGAGAAAACGGTTTTCAGACAGACAGAAAAATATAAGAAGATTAAGTACCTAGCGAAAGATTACAGTAATTGTCGGCATTCTCCCTTACCATTTTGTAAAGCGTAAAGGAATCAATCATGGCGAGCAAACCGCAACAGCAGGATGCGGCGGCAGTAGAAAACATTCGAACGTATACGATGGTAAGGCCAAATCTAAAATGGACATCACTTGAAAAATGATTGCATAACAAACAGATCGATAAATTTACTCGACTCATCATATGAACCGGATATCTCAAATTGGAACCGAATAATCAAACACAGTACCATTATTAGTTTCATCTTTGATTTATAAAAAATACTCTTATCATTTAATTGCATTATTTACCTGTGTAAATAAATTAATCTCCATGCACGCGCCACGGCCATTATTGTAAATCCACCGCCGGAAATCGCCACTCCGAGCCCATCTCTTACTTCCGTTTGACGATGGACCACCCAGCAAGAGATTGTTGCCAGGATACTCAGAAATGGAAGTATAGCTGCCGGTACTAGTAAGGATTCCAAGAGCTCGAATAGGAGTATCAATAGTAACGAGATGCATAATAATGTTCTTGTATTATGCAGCGGAAGTAAAACAGCTGTTAGTCTGCAACACACAGTTATCATAGGAATCGCTTTATGTTTACAGTGCGAAATAGGTTATGTATGATCAGTATGGTATTGCAATTGGTGATGCATTAAAATAGTATCACTATGTATTCACTTCGAATAACAATGTTAACGAGATGCATGATAACGATCTTGTACTATACAGTGGAAGTAAAATAGCTGTCATTTTAATAATGTATGGTTACCGTAGGAAATCTTCCATGTTGGCAATACGAAATAGATTGACGAGCCAATACGTATGAATAGCCTCAACGAATAGGTTATGTGTACTCCGCATGTTACTGCAGCTATTATGCATTATAAGAATGTTACCTGATTCTCTTATATATACCATTATGTGTCTTTCTATTTTCAATTAATAAAACCGGTAACTGTATATCAAGTGACACTACACGATATTAAGTAGCACTGTACACTCCTGACGCAAACATGTTGCGTATAACGTAGTATAAGAATGAAGAATGAAACGAAATCCGAAGCTTTCTGTCGAACTCGTGAATATATCAAACCCGTTTCAGATTTACGTGTACTGCAAACACAAGGAAATCCCAGCGCGCGGGCCTCATTGTCCGCCATTAAAATTCTGTCAACCTCGTCGATGACGTAACCGAATTCAAAGTAGCTGTACGTTTGCCACGGTTTGATTTGATTGTATAACTGCAGTTATTGTTGTATTCAGACAACTTGTTTATTTACAGTGGCAGGTAACGTCAATTGAAGTTTTATTAAACATTTTTAAATGGTTCTTCGCAATGCTTGATGTACGTTAGGAAGTTATATATACATAGAAGCAATTCAAACGAATCGTTTGTTCTTTGTAAGGAAGTTCTTTATATAGAATTGTGCAACACATTTATATTTAGTATCTAAGATTGACGGTGTATTTTTGTGGCATAGAGACGACAGTTCCAAATTTTAATATGGATTTGATTTCTTCAAGGATATATTTCGAATCAACATTGTCAGAAAGTGTCGTAATCCGAGAGTATCGTAAGAGCTCGTTTGCGTGCGGGTGTATTATGTTTGCTGGAAGAATCACGCGTCGCACGTGTTTTGCCTTAACTTTGTGATTCTTCAGTGTAGTAAACACGAAGAGTTACGAGGAAGCAGATAAAAGTACACGCCTTCCTGGAATATCCGAAGATTAATTAATCAAACGTAATACATTATAATCAAAGTAATTATGACTTCTTTTATGGAATTTCCTACGTTTTGTATTAATGTTTCTTCCCCTATTTTTTCATTATCAAATATATTTTTTTAATATATTATCAATATCGTGGAGAAATCCACAAGCCATTAGTAACTAAATACATTGGTACGTTACACAGTAACGATAAAGTATACCTCAAATATAACAAAATTTTTAATTAATAAATATTGCACGTTAATATGACTCTCCTTTTGATTAAAATTCACATGAAATTTTTACCGTACGTACAATCATTAAAAGTAATTCTAATTAGTAATTTATGCAAAACGAATGACTCACGTTGATCTGTCTATACGTACGTGTTTCAATTTAATAGCCTTTGATTCACGTAGTACCGACAACGGCTATAAGTATGCTAATTATAAAGGCGATACCGAGAACGAATTAACATACAGGGTGCATTGAACAGCCTATTATATATATATACATCACAAAATAGATGATTCGTTGCGTGCAGAAACTACGTAAACAACCAATGGATTTCTTATCCATATTTAAATAGCAACATCTTAACAGGATAAAATAGTATCAGTACCATTTTCAGGGGTCATCCGCTTATGGTATGTCCTTATCGAAGAGTCCCCTGAACTTGTTACTGATAAAATAAGCTTCCCATATACAGGCTACAGCCGACCGGAAATTCCTTTCTCTTTCAAAATAATCATCATGGACCACCATTGCGTAATTAGATAAAATTCTTGAGATACATACGTAACTGCTATAGCCAGATGAATCATCCATTAATGAAGGTACTTTAAACGCTAAGTTTTTAAACTCGCTTCACTTAACCCCATTGGGAATTCCCAACAGTGTTTTCCCCATAGAGAACAAACTTATTCACTCGCTTCAATTTTATTAATTGACAGTTCAAAGAATGTATGATCGAACGTGATATAGTATACAAAGGTTTACTTACTTGTGTGTTTTCGTGCATCTATACTTGACTGACAGAACACAGGCGACGAAGAATGTCAAAACGGCAACAAAGACGTTCACCAGCTCTACAATACAGTCCCCATCTGAATTGGTCGTCCCACTTACGCGCACAGTGGTACCATTTTCGCTTTTCCAGGACCACACAAGGTGTCTTCCGGGCGGCACCAGAAGACGGGATAACGAGCTCACCTCCTCGCAGATTCCCATGGTGCTCGTTATCGATAATCACTGCTGTTAATCATACGTAGGTTAAATGACGACGATTTCTCATCCCTTAGAACACTTGATCCCTTAGTCACTTGGTCCATTAATTCTCATTTCCTTACGGCCACTGCTAATTAAGGTCTCTTCTCAATCTCTTTCTTACATGTCCTGCGTCCAAGCCACGCGTTACATTTTCCAGTTGAAGTCGATTGAGCAATTTTAAATCTAAGCAGAACAGAGGCGAAAGTTTTGTAAAATATCTGGCAAACAGACTGCATGCATGTCTTATAAACACGCATTTAGTATGCAGCTAACGACAAGCTTATATACTATACTCGGCATACGTTACGTTAGAAAAGGTAGAAAAGGGAATAGAAAACTATCGTATGTACACTTCCTCTCTGAAATATATACTGCTATGTACATTTGTATATATTTATAGAATAACGTCAATCGAAGCATTTGAAGCTTCCGTGCGATCGGTAACAGTCTCCTCTTCACATGATAAATTATCCTCGTTTATTATCACAGCATTTTTCAGGCATAACACATCGGCCCCAGTTTTATGCGTCGCGTCGGTCCTGTCTTTCATCTGCCGCTCTTTAAACGAATCTGCCGCGACCCGTTTAAGATTAATAGCCAGTTTCCAGTGGTACGCGTGGGACTCGATTAATGTCAGGGAAGCACCAAACTTCACTCATTGAAGCCTTCAAACATCCTATTGTATTTTTTTTTTGTATAGCGTGCTTCATAGCGTCGCGACGCTATTTCCGTTATGCAAGATAAATACGTTAAAACTATTATATACATAGTCATTTCTACACCCGAAAAGTGACATCTTGACCGATAACTGTCATAAACAAAGAGGCTACTTTTATTAATTTACCATTTTTTTAACTACTTGATTATACTTTTCAGTACATATGTCTTGTATCTGATAGGATGCGAGTCTGGCTATAGGTATTTAGGTAACTGACCCCATGACAGAAAAGACCCCAGTGTTAATTGCTTATATTAACACCTCGGCCCTTGCGGCAGCATGTTGAATGCTACTAGGACACATACTCAACGTAACGTGCTATTTTTGACAAATTTCTTTTGTGGATCGATTTAATTAAGGACGAAACTGTACGGTAAATTTATCGAAACATTTAAAAAAAAAAGTAATATTTATTTATTAAGTCTCAGTCCATAAGTACCTCGTACGGATGAGCTTGCACGTATACTGGCACTGATTCCGACACTAACAGTTTTCCTCAACTTGTTCCAAGAAATCGAATGGCCTGTTGATATATGATCGGTATAAATCGAATGGATGCTGCAGAAGCTTTGATCTACTTTTAAACTGGCGCTTTTTGATGATTGACGAATCGCAATGATTGTTGATAGTTCAATCATTCGTTACTAGTTGTTTATACATTTTTTAACTGTGATACGTTTCACAGGTGTTTTTACTTGATGTATTAACCACGTGTCTTGATCCTCGTGGAAACGAAGAACAGAGCTCCGTTCTTGTTGACGGCGCGCGCAGTACTGACTGGCTCACGAAGAGAGAGACCAGCTTCACTGGCTTCGCTACAGAGAGATTTTCTGATACGTGAGTCACAGTCGTGGAATCGCTATGCCAGATACTTGCTCATTGTTTAACTAGTAGCATCCAAAGGCGTGGTGACTGCGAGAAAGAGACTCGTGCGAATTTTCAATTCGACGAATTGTTTACTGGAGCAATATTGATGTGGATGACATACAAGATTTTCGGAAAAAATTTTTATCCGCAAACAAAATGATTTTTTTAGGAAATATAATAAACGTATACCTCGTATAACGTATACGTAACGTATAATATAATATACGTGTAATACCTCCTTTACTTTTTGTATCGCATTGTTACATTACCAAAAGAAATCGTTGAACCACGTACTCGAGTTGGAAATTGAGAATGCAGCTGAGTAAACATAACGTGCATTTAACGCTGGGCCAACAAACGAGACAAAACAAGGTGTACAGATTTGTTGCTCCCGAAATGGTCACGTTTTGAAAATGTAAATATAACACTGCGTTAGTATGCCAGTGGCTACTTGTATGTCACGAGCATTATGCATTATATTATAATTATGTACAATTGCACAAAGGTATCCATGCATTAAGCAGAAATAGAGTACAACAAAGATGATGATTTATTTGAAAAATATTTAATAATAAACATTGACAATATACAGAGAAAATACGCCATAAGAAGTCGCTATGGGAGTAGTAATAAGAACCTAACAACTGGTCCAGACTTACAAAATATCATTCAAATCAGACAATGACGTAGGTGCTTGCGAGTACACCTCGACTTCCGTATTTAACTATCGACTTTCTTTCTTTTCTTTTTTTTTTGTTATTTTCTAAATTAAACTTCGAGTCCGTTTTTTTTTTTTTCATTTTCTTCCTACCACAATCATTATCCGTTCTTCCTTTTTATGCAATGTGTTCTTATTCTCATATACCTTCGTACCTCTGTGTTAATAGTAGGCATCGAGTTTTACACGAATTTACATGAAAATTCGTATTTTATACTTTTAACGTACTCGTAACTCGATTGTGCACTTTTTCACGTATATACTTTATTATTCATAGACTCTGTAACTTTCGAGTTTTCACGAAAAATTGCTCGATCCAAATTCTGCCGATTAATTTATTTAACCGTCGCTCTTTGTTCGTTTTACGATTCGGTTTGTTACACTGCGATAAGCAAAAAAACAATTGGCATATAATAGCTGATGAAATTTTTTCCCATTTTTTGTTGTTTGCTTTGTTCTCGACGCTACTACCTTACTTAGAATTATTTTTAAGAGTGTGCTCTCGTTACTTGCTGTCAGCCAATTGGTTGATCTCATCAACGTGGTTACTATATAGTTAAATCGCTACCTGACCAATTGTTAGTCAGCCAATTGGTTGGCAGACCGCACAGACCTTATATTAAACTTTACTTTATACACGCACGCACTCATTCTAGAAAGTATGCAACTTCATAATGTCATGGAACATCCCATTTCAAAGTACTCACACTTTTGTTTTCACGTTAATTATTCTCATTTAATAATTCAAAAAACATCGACGTGGCTTTGCCGTTCTCGCGTGTAAACCATCCGTGCGTTTTCACTCTCATGGAAGCTTGACTGACAAGAGATGGTAAAATTTAATTTAAATAGTTGCTATTTTTATCTTATATTTCACAATAGAGATATTCGAATGAATGTACAATATTTTTTGTTAAACAATGTTGAGAGACAAATTGTTCAGAAAGAATATTTGCTATTAGTAACGTTAACAGTTGGCGAATCAATGAGAACGTTTATTGACTTTTGAAAGGAAAATAAAAAAATTTAGGGAATTTTCATTTTTTTTTTTTTTTTTCATTCTCTGTGTCATTGGAGTTTCGAGGAGAAATGCGCTACGGAATTTTCTTTTGCTTTCACTTTTTCCAAGAGTTACGGTAACGCCACGTCCCCGTACACTAGGATATGTTGCTCATAAGACGTGTCATTACGTAGTCATGAATTCATCTAGAGTCATCTTTTTAAAGTATTACATATCGTATGGTACGTATCATCGAATATTTTACATTGCGTTCGCTAATCGTAATCGTTTTTAATCGATGGTAAATTAATATCGGTAGTAGGAGCTTCTTCCATCGCGTTTCCTCTTTTATCTTCCATTGTGTCCTTGCGTAAATCCTTCGGTGTTTATTAATAAACCCCTGCGTGTTACGTAAGCAGCGAGAATATAAGAGAGCGGGTCGATCGATATAGATCGTTATGATCGTGGCTGATCGATCGTATTGATCTAGAGGGATAGAGGAAGGAAGAAAAAAGTATTTGGAGAAATTTATGTGCTGTTATTTCAAGGCGTACGGGACACGATATTTTTTCTTTCAAAATGAACGATGAAATTTTGCAACGATTATTACTATTGGAGAACAGCGAGAAAGGACCATGATCGTTTTTCAATTGAAGTGCATAAGAATAGTTTATATATTCAAAAAAACAAATTATTCAATATCATATAAATAATATGTCCACTATGAAATTTCACTTTGATTGAAAAAGTTTATCAAATAAAAAGATACTTTCAAAAAAGTTCTCCATGTTAGTAGTCGTCGTTGATCATTTTCCATGTAATAAGGTTAAGACCGTTCATCAATCGTTTGATAAAAAAATATCTGTCACGTTGTGCGATAGGCCTGTCACGAATAAAGCGACGAGAATGATTTCTTTTTCATTTCAGGAACAAAGTAAAGTAGACGTCACAAGAAAAAATCAGACGAGGGATATTAACTGTGATAGCGGTGGTAGTAGTAGTTAATACTAGTAATAGTAATATAATAGTATTAATTGAAGAAAAGTGTAGTTGTGCACATGACAAAAAAACTGACGGAAATATCATTAAAGGCTTTTTGCAGGGGCCTCGTCTAATTTGAGCTTGACTTATACTAGCAGCTAATAGTAGTAGCCTACCGTTAAAGGTAATTTTAATTACGAATAGTATAAATTGTAGTTACAGTATATAATATACAGGTTTTGTAGGGTTGGGGATTTAGGGGTGGGTCATGGCTTTTCGTAAAAGGATAGAAATAATGGGATATATCGTAATACGAATCTGCACGCACCATGGAAATTCGAATTGACGAGATTTTGGATCCCGTTAGAAAAAATACAGGAAACCGGAATTGTGACTGCGCAGTAACAACGCGCGACCGACTGCAGTCACGTACAATGCTGATGCATTAAATATAATTTATAATGTGAGAGAGAGAGAGAGAGAGAGAGAGAGAGAGAGAGAGAGAGAAAAGTACAGTCATTCTAGAAAAGCCTTTAGATTTTTTAGAAAGAATAAAAAGGACTAAGTAAAAGGTTACTACTATTGAAAAATTAAACGCTATCAGCACTGAGCGTGAACTGCGCATGCGCACGTGCACAGGCATCGACACTGTACGACGATGGTAGTATCCGGTGTTGTTGCTAAGGACACGCGACAACGATCGGTTGTATTGGATTTAGATTAATCTTACGTCAAACTATGTTCGTGATAATTAATCCCTAATTAATCGGTTAGTTGATGAACGCATCGCTCTCGCGGCTACGGCTAGCCTGATTTGTGCTCGACGATATTTACATGTGCTGGTGGCGCCATCCCACGTATACGCACAGTGATTTCCTGGTTGTAATCGGACGCTTTCGCACTATACTATCCTAACCTAGCAAGTATTCGGATTAAAACGTAACGACGGCCCTATTATATGTCTAACGTACTTCTAAACAAATCTTTGTCATATTTGGCTATTTTCTCATCGCAGTATACCTCCCTTCCCTACTAACCCCAGCTGTACTCTTCGCGAATCTCAACTCGCCATTTTATATTGTATTCGATCATTCTTTCTCTTTCTCTTCCTCTCTCTGTCACTGTCATCCAATTACAGTCATTCGCACATGCGTACGTAATAATCTACGCAATATATATCTTCATTTAATTCTAATCTTAACGGGATATCACTCACTCGGCTCAATGTGCGTACTATTTTCTTTACTCGCGACTCATTCATTTTTTCATGTCCGAAGACTCTCGTCAATTTCTCACAGCGTTGTGTTAAAGAGAAAGAGTGAGAGGTCTGAGACTTTATCGATTCGCGTTTCGATATTGTTAATCGCTAATTAAACGCAGAGGATAGATGAGAATTGATCGAAAAAATAAAAATAAAAAGAGAGACTGTGCCGTGTCGCGCTCTTAGACAGTAAACTGTAATTATAGTGTTTGTATCTTTTATTAATAAACTGGTAAGTTTTTACTTTTCATTTCTTTGTCTCTCTTCACTCGTTTCCACATATGCGAATTACTATTACTTAAATTCTCTCCCGTGTCCTGACAATCCAGCCCATATTTATAATGCGCGCGCAAGAAGTTTATGCAGTCTGTTGCGTCTGTACGCCGACGTCTTCCAGAACTTCGAAGGTCAACGCTACAAAACTTCTGGTTTCGCATCTGTACAATAGTGCGCGGTTATCTCTAACGCGGCCAGCTTTTTGGCGACAGGTCCGTGCGAACCTCTACTTATTTATTTAATTATTTGTTATTTACTTTTTAATCGAGTACAATATTTTAATCGCTCGAGAACGATCCTCGTGAACGAGTTTAATGAGTTTACATCGTTCATGAGAATGCAGCTCTCGCTACGCTTACGTGCGCTTTTTCATCGCGGATACGATCCTTCACTGAGATTCCAGGGACAGTCGAAGGCATGTGCTGCCTTACGATATTAGATCAATATCATAGAAAATGTAACAAAACAAAAAAAGAAGAAAGTGATGAATATAATTAACAAAAAAAAATATGGGAAAGCGGGAACGGGGTGTATAAGTTCAATAAGGAGGAAGTAAAAACAAATTTATATAAGGGAGGAATAGAAACGACGTGTCATCTCCGTTTTGGCGACTAACCAAGAAATAAATTAATTACACCAGATTTGTTAGATCCGCGGCTTTGTAAATTTTGTACCTATTAACGGTAGGGGAAAGAGTTGCGAAAGAGCGGGTGACGAGGGGTTGTGTTTTTCTGATTTTTTCTTCTTTCTTCTTATTGGCAGATTAGGATATTAATGACTGGTACGAGGAAAGGGGGTTGTAGGTACATTACTGGTGGATGTATACAAGTTGACAGGTTGCTTTACAGAATTACTTTGGAAATCGCTAACGAATGCAAAACAAACAAAAAATAAAAAGGACTACGAGTAAACGCGTTTGATTAAAACCGGTTCGAGAATGATGACTAGACCCTGTTTACCAGAATCCGGTACGTCGGTCTAGGAGTTTTCCTTTCTTTTTCTTCCCTCTTTTTTATCTAATAAAACGCTAATTCTATTAATCGTACCTAACGTTTGGTTCGCGACCTACACACATATTTGGCATAGAAACCTAACCAACTTACGCACGCACGTTTCTAACAGCTAGCTACCTAGGTCTCATTTTACAATTAATCTTCCGCGCTACTCGTTCACATGGAAATATAATAATTGTAATAACGCGCCCGACCAATCTTTCACTCGCAGGTAGAGCGGCAGCCGATTTTTTACATTCTAAGGACGAGTGATCGTCCACGGTGCGTGCAACATTGCTTGACAAAAAACTATGTAATCAAAAAGGGAGGATATACAAAAAAAAAGGTAATCAAAAATAATCAAGATGAAAACCGCGACTCGGGCATATAAATATAATGAAAAGATTATCTTGCCTTTTTACGTATGGAAAGCGAGTAGAGGGAAGACAAACAATAAAAAAAAAAAGAAGGTAATCAAGAGGACCAAACTTTGCGATTTTCTATGCCAGATCAGACATACATGTTGGACAAATTACGTATTTTTACCAAATAGATTACGTACTAACGAGTAAATTGCAACGATACTACACGGGCTATATTACATTTTGACCGTGACAATATTACTTGTATAATTAAATCCCCGTATGCGAATTTGATGGTTGAACATTACAAGCATCATGAATTTCATGAATTGAAGCTTACGCGTGTGTGCAGTGTTATCGAGAGAACCACTCGTCCTTTGACGGCTGCCGTTTACGTAGCGCACGCTTATCACTTATCATTTCAATCTGAACGATCCAGTCACGGAGCCATCCCGTTATTTTTTGCCAGGATCCTTCCTCCGCTTATCCTGTCTCGCAGCAATGTTATTATCAAAATTGTACGGTCCTCGATAGAGGCATGAAATCTATGTTTCTATCTTTGTTTGGCCAAGATCGCAACGATGAATTCGCGTTGTTCTTATCTATCTTGTACGAGGAGGAAGTACGGGACGCGAATTTGACAAGTGTCATTTACACACATCGCTAGCTGATAGCCGTAGTCCCGAACTGTCCAAATGACGAGGTTCAGGATGACAAAGACGATGTCGATGAGGTTTATGATGACGGCGAGAACGTGCTAAGTGATGTGCTACGAGAGGCTAACGTCGGCAGGTGGGGCTCCAGGCATCGCATTGGGGATGATGATTGTGTCGGTTTCTGGTCATGATCTGCTGAGTATACAGTAACGCCTTTGCAAGGAAGGCTTCCATTTAATAAGGTGTGAACCTGTTGTATCCGCCCCTGTAGACCGTCGCCTGTTAAAATAAAGCCAAAGATCAAAATCTATTAGTTCCCGTTCAATTTGAATCTTAGTCAATTTGTTGATGGATATTATTTATTAATCAACTTACTCCGTAGCCAGCAACAGGGCCGATACCATGTCCAAGGTAGGGATCAGCGTACTCTCTGCCGTATCTGAAATTTCATGATCACGTGAGACAACTATCCCACTGCAATTACATCCCAGTGATGAAGTAAGAAATAAAGAAAGGGTCAGGATGTCGTCATCTTTACCAGATACAAGCGTTCAGGATTTTTTAACAGGACTTTCAGGAGGGGTATCTTGCTGATCCTCGTGGCGTCTACTGCGCAAAGCACGACCACGACGGATTCTTCTGTAATACGTTATCAGGTCAAGAGTGAGTAAGGATCGAAGATCAGAAACAATAAATCATACGTCACAGCTAGGGATGAATTAATAAAAAAAAAAGAGATATATATATATATACATATAAATATTTAATAAATTTCAATAGTCCCCATCTTACCCAGCTACTGCTGCGTAACCGGCAACCGGCTGAGCTGCAGCCGCAGCCGCTCCGTAAGCTCGCGCCGCGACGGCCGTATACGTCGCCGCGGCGGCGTAGGTCGCCTGTTGGGTAGTCGAAAGTGGCGTCGTCTTCAGTAAAGGTGAAGCTGCAGCAGCTGCTGCGGCCGCCTGTAACAACCACAACCCGCCATGCAAGCTCAAGCAAGCTCGAATACTAATCTTCGTCGTGAACGTATCACGCACGACGACAGTTACTGTCTCTACGTTCGTAAGATCAGCTGCCGGTACGATCTGGAGGAGATCCTGAAGGATCGAGAAGGGACAGAGGACGCGGGTGAAGAAGGAACGAAGATGATTGTAATAGACTAGGAATCGGGAAGAAACGGATATCATTTTGGAAGATATCGAACGTTTTGATGTCCGATGGAAAAATTCAATTTTTAGGTTATGTTTGCATTCCTGGATCTTTGGACACCTCCGGACGACCGACCTACCAAGTACATGGAGCGATTAATGAATTAATTACCGAATTAAAAGAGGAAGAGATACGGCCAGGTAAGTAATAAGACACGTGGTGCTGGGTACTGTTAAGTTAGCATGCACAACGGAAACAATGAAGGTATAAAATGGTGCAGTCGATCCGACAAATGTCACGGGGTGCATGTTTCAAAGTAACGCAAAGTAAAAGGCAACGACTAGGGAGGCTTCTTAACTACGCTGCGAACTGGTAATCGGTTACGTGTATCGTGTGGCTTGAGCTTAATTAGCGTAAGCTAGTAACCTGGTGTGATCTGTGACTTAGATATTTACTCGGATTGTTGCTGGTTATACTGGAAGTGGTTGCGTGGTTTTTTTTCTTCATTTTCATCGATTATATCTAACGGGTACGCATATAGTGCTCTAACTTCCCGAAGTTCCTACTGGGTTGAAGTTAACGTGGACGAGGTATGGATAACGTTGAGAGGATTACAAGATTGAGGGAAGACCATGTTATTGTTACAAGTTGAAAACTTCTGGAAGAAAACTTATTCGAACTTTCTTACTGATACGGTACGGTAAGTTTTGAATTGACTTTTTTTTCTGTTGGAAAACGATAATAATGTTCTCCTTAATCATCTATCAAGTTCTTAAATATCTCGTTAAAATTTCAATCACATAAGTCGTTGACTATCACAGGTATTTACTAGGGAATTCATGTCTCAGGTATCGTCCCTGAGCCGATACATCAAATTGCGATAAAATAGTTTGAAATTATTTTCAAAAATTATTAAATACAAAAACCCAATAAAAATGCATTATTCTCATTTTTAATTCAGTTTATACTTGTGAGGAAAACGAAGAATTTTGCAAATCCCATCAAGAGGGGTCAACTACGAATTTTTGTTTCGCGCTCCGGCAGACATTAACGCCTGTGCAGGTTAGGAGAGTAGAGTGAACAAGGGTAAGTAATTTCCCAGCAAAAAGCATTAAGGCCATCAGCTTCCGCTGAACGGGCATAGATGCAATCGAGTATTCTTGCGGTTTTTATTCTCTCGGGTTTCTACGTCCGCCCACTTTCCGTCGTTCCAGTGCAGCAGCAAACCAACCCAAGGACCATGACAGCGTAACTGCATGCACTACGGCCACGTGTAGCTGGCGAAGAAATTGCAGTGGAAATATCAGACGAAACTTCCGTACTGAAACCCTATTGGCTCATGGATTTTCCACGCGTTCATTTTACTTAAGGTCAGCTGGCACCTCGCGCTACGTGTTCTCGTGTGCTCGGAGTGTAATGTGCATCTGATTTATGAGGATGAAGATAACCCCGACGGGACGCCTCGCGGGTCGCGCCGCTTAACCTAAAATCTACGTGCATGCATCTCAGCTTGATATTTCTATTCGCGAGCACCGTACCGGATTTCCGCGATGACTTTATCGATCCTCAGCCGGAAATCCGTTTTTATACCATCGGCTCACGGCGATGCGGACGTAAGGGGAATTGGCTGAAGGGTCGAAGCCACGCGACAAGGGTTGAATGTTACGGGAGTAAATAGAAGTGAGATTCTTGTAAGCTGCGTAAGAGATAAAGAGGAGCATATAAAACACTGTGCTTAAAAGGGACTCAATAAAATGCACGGTATCGATCAATTGAAAAAGGAAATATCGTTAGCGATTACAGAACTGAAACGAATTGGTGCGTCTGCGCATGCGCGTGGGTGCTTATGAAAAATATTACCGTTACAAATAGTAAACTGCTACCGCAGTGTGTTTTGTATTTATTTTCTACTACTCTGTACGTTTACTGCTTCGAATGTACCGGGCAACTTGACGGTTTCCTACGGAGAATCTTGGTAAGCTACGTTTTAAGTTTTAACTAGTGTCCGCCCCGAGGCGCGATTTACTTTTGTTTTTCCTGGTTTCGCGCGCGCTGTTAAAAACGCGAAACGACGTAGGCGTCGACGTGGAGTATGACGCACACGAGATGACGAAGGGGCACGAAGAGAACTGGCTCGGAAATGGAGAAGACGGTTTACTCTCTGGATGGTAGTTAGCTCGGTCGGTAAACATCAGGGTTCTCTTACGCTTTGGGGTTGCGGCTCATTCAAGTGCTCGAATTAAAGTTGCGAAACAAGACAAATTAGGGAACTTTTTCAATGAGTATTTTCTCGCGGTTACAAAGAAGTTCACGAAATTTCATACACGGTAGAGAAATACTGAAAGGCTTTTAGAAATGAGGTTCGGAGAGAAGGGCGGGAATTTTAAAAGAATTATCTTGTTAGCCGTGTGTTATGAGATTTCCGGGTGACTCTCGTCGTTAATTGAAAACTCTTTTTGAAATATGAAAACCGAAAAATTGACATAGCCAAATTCCGTCTTAACGGCATTACTGCGGTGCTGTATTATTTATGTTACTTTCTCTCTGTTCATTCGAGAAGTCGACAAGGTGCAACGTAAATTATTAGCCAGTTTATGCGGTACGCGATGTCTTTTGGCAACGCGAAAATTAAGCTTCATAAATTCCCCGTCGGGCGGAGTGACGTGTTTTCTAGAAACCCGTACCGCGCCGCCCGTCGCGATTCGTAAGTCATGAAAATAGCCACAAGGATCGCAATAAAGCCCACTGAAAATTCTCCAGCGACGGCGAGCGACGTGAAATCCCTATAGCACAGTATATGTGTACAATATACACACAGAAACGAGCTATATAACGCAAGCTCAATTCTACGTTTGACCAGAAAACGAAAAGAACAAATAACCAGAAATAAGTAAGTACATTATGCAGCAATAATTCGTTTATCGGTGCAGACAAGGTCTTAGGCTCGTCCTAGATCAAACCCTAACCTAACCCAACACTACTTTCGACGAGAGAGACAAACGAAAACAATCTATAAGAGTGAAATGAACAGTGAGCCAAAAGAAAAAAAAAATGAAAGAGAAAGTACAAAGGGACAGTGAATTTTGTATACGTTCCCAAGCGGTTATACACGAAACAGTTCGGATTCCCTAGAGCCACTACTCGGAATATGTTTACTGGGAAAGCGAGATTGTCAGTCAACGCACAGATTAATATGAGAGAGCGACAGCAGGAAATGAAAGAAGACTAACAATAAGTAAAAGAAAGAAGACGGTATTACACAGTAAAAAAAGAAAGAGACAGAGAAAATACATAGAACAATGAAAGAGATAATGGTAGCACGAAAAAAAAAAAGAAAAAGATAATAAGTAGAGAAAGAGAAAGAAAAAGGTGAAAGACTAATAAAACGCATCGCGTGAAAGTTAAATCCTTGCGAATAATAATGTCTAATAGGGATGGAGTTACAGTATACGAACAAACGAATCCGATGATAGAGGATATTATAAAATCAAATGCGAAATGCACAGGTATGGACCCGCGTTTAATCCTACCTCCAGGGCTGGCCCTTTAGCCTGAAACACAAACGGCAATCCTGAAATGTGAACCAGGCCTTATCCACGCGAGTCTCTTAAGGAGCCTCATTTGCAGTTGGCCTTGCAGCGATGCATCGATCGCCTTCTAATTGGCTGTCCTATATGATATGATATCGTGCCGGACTCTCGCTGACCTCTCCCGCCCGCTGGCTACATTTATTATGCAATTGTTAAATCCCGCCCGTCAACATTGACGAACGTAGCAGCTCGCGAATGCATAAACAAGGCGGCTTCTCGCAGAGTATAGTAAAATGCAACAAGATGCAAGCTATCCGGCACGAGATGCAGAATCATTGTTGGTTGCTTATGAGTCATGGCAAATGATCATAATTCGTATCGATGAATTCCGCAGTATGTCGACGACACGGAGGACGAATATTAGCGAAATGGAATGACTCAATTTATCGTATAATCGTTATGCAAGCCTAGCAAAATGTCACTATGTATATACTAACGTCGGCTGATGCTTGCGGCCATTCCAGCTATAGTAATTCCCGTATCGTTACTAAGTTATTAGGCGATGTTGATCGATACGATGCATGAACGTTTGGGATTTAAATTCAATAATAAAAGGCACGAGTGGTCCTGCAGATCCTGTACGTTCTTGTATCGCAATTCGTCTACGTCATAGAGCTAGTCACGGGTTCTTACCTGGAGCCTATATTGAGGATCCTGTGTCGCTGCGTGTGCTGCTATGAAGGGATCGTAGTAGACACTGTAAAAAAGAAAGCAAATGATGTTACGTATAAAAGTCGAATTCGTAACTAGATATTCGGTCGGGATCGATCGGAAATCAGTTGATCAATTGTCCACTAGGGATAATCATAGAAGTCGACAAGGTTTCCTTTTCGAAAGAGAAATATTGAAAATTTGGCAAAACAAAAGAGAGAGGATTCGATTGAATTTTACATTGAAATAATGACGTTGGAGATTGTCTCGATCGACCGTGACATCTCGCGGCTGAGTTCCGTACGTTGGAGTTCCGTAAGGAGGAGAGGTTAGAGGAATGTTTGTGCTTTGCGTGCAGATGCGAGAAATTCATTCAGGCGTCATTATACTTGTACAGTGCTAACGCCGCGAGTGTTCAGCCGCGCTCGTTCGTTAATTAGCAAAGAATAATTAGAGTGACAATTAGCAATTAGTCCCTTTGGATAATTTATAGCACGTGCATCACACGAGGCTGCACACTCGGCCCAGGTATATTGTAGAGGTAGCCGACAACACAGTGGAGATGCTGGCCGACGTTGATCCGTATAGGGTTAATCAGGATGCACTCTACTTACGCAGGTGCGAAGGGATGCAGAGCTGTTGCAGCAGCCGCAGCTGCAAGTGGCCCCGGATTCCGGGCGAGTGCGATTGCTGCAGCTCCTGTTGGAAAGGCCGCTCTCGCTGCTCCGACTCTACCACGTTGAATGGCCACACCTCTAAGTGCCGCAGCTGCAACACACATGCCACCACGGCCTACCTTGTAATTCACTGTTGACCAAGGCCCAAAAGTTCATCCCGATGCAGCAACGGCAACAGCAGCGGCAGCAGCAGCAACAGTCGACGGACCAAGAGGGCACGACGCTACGCGAGGATAACCTCAGGGATTTAAATTTGGGAAAGATGACGTATCAGTCAGAGACGACTCGACGTCCTCAAGAGAGCGACTCGACGTCCGCTCTGGACAACGAAGGGCCCACCGGCGGGCGGACCGTTAAAACTCCAGAGAAACCATCAGGCTCGGCGGGCAATCCGAGTACGGTTACAAGGACGTTAAGAACAAAACGCTTCAGGGCGCACTATCCGGCGAAGAAGTTAAAGAGAAAAATTGGCTTCGTGGTACCGACACACTCTATGACCTCTATAGGATCTACCGAGAGTATACGTGAGAAACCGCTCAAGTCTGTCCTGAGGAGTACCAGCGGCTCCATCAGGAGCAGTACTTCGTCGGTGAGATTCGTCCTGCCTGTCGACGGTGTGGACGAGAGTGGCCGCAGAAGATCATTGGGATCCTACAGAGCTGAAGTTCGTGAGATTTATCGGAATAGAATCGAAGGATGTAGAACAATCATTAGAATGCATCGTTGCCGTTTGGCTATGTGCATACTCTATGGAATCCTGGTCCCGTTTTTCATCATCATACCCGTATTTCTCCTCTATTGGGAACCCAAGACCAACCAAAGTGTCCAGGGTTGACTCACAGCAATATGTATACAGACATCTACTGAAAAAACACTATGGGAACACTTATCCAGCTCTGCGTCCTCGATCGAATGGGTTTACTTGAAAAACGTATCTGGCCTACCTTGTATCACTGCGCGGAGCTCGTCAAGTTCGACCAAAAATAATATTAACCAACAGGACTGTAATTGGGTTATTTAAATCAAGACAAACTAGCAGCACTGACGTTAAGGAGATGTCCAAGTATTGACTTTGTCTGACTTTAATATCCTTGTCTCTCGATGCGTGTCGTCCGATTACGTTGACAAAAGCAAGGCCGTTAGAACGGGCAATTGTGGGCGGAGAGGCGATTAGAGAGGGGTACGTGAGGACGACTAGCGATGCAATAAAATACAGGCGCATTCCAGGAGTTAAGGAAAGACACAACAAGACAAACTAATTAATTAACATACGATCCTGCGCGCTTTGCACGGTAATACAGTCAATGTACCGTCTATAGGCACGAGTAATTCGCTGACGTGTAAAGGCGGGTTCACATCGACGCGCGAACAGTAAGTGATGCGACAACCGTGTCTCGTGCATTGGGGTTGTGCAGGGATGTTACGTGAAACTGGCCAACGAGAAATGGGGACAATACACGAAGAATAGTAGCGCTAGTAGAGTAGTGTGGTAATTGCGGTGGTAATAGTAGTAACAATAGTGATAGGTAGTTGAGAGTGGTAGAGTAGTAGTAGAATGGTAGTACGATAGAAGAAGAGGTTGAACAGAGTAGCGAAAGGTCAGAGAAGGTTAAGGTTATACCTCCGTCTCGCCGCGGCTCTCGGGGCGAGGACGAGGGGTGCGGCTGCAGGAGATGGTGCAACTGCCGCCGCTGCAACTGCTGCCGCTGCAGCTGCCGAAGGTGCAGCAGCCCCTAGCCAGCTCCATGGCATGGCCGGCAACCTGTATCCTGTCGAAAATATTAGTGCACCGTGCCCTCGGGACGATGTCAACCCATTTTAGGGTAATAGTGCTAGTATTTTTGCAACCGTTAAATATACGACATTAGGTAAGCACTGTATTACATGGAAAAAAATATACGAGTAAGGACTTAGGACGGATGATGATTTGGAAAGGATTTATCTAAATTATAGTTTTTCAAACTGACAAATACCAGAAAACGCGCGCGATTTATTCAAAACGGGAATTTTCGAGTATGACGAATCGCGCGGAGGGAGGGACTGTGCGATGAACATTTTTCAAAGTTATTACTAAACGATGTCAAAATAAATAAAAAAAAGTCATCAGTCATATGTTCTCTGGATATTTGTCTGTGAGAGGTGTAGATGTCGCTCTCGGCTGTATGACGTAATTTCGCGTTCCTATTACATTGTGGGATTTTGCTTATGAAACTCTCGGTTTTAGTAATTCGCGTAGGAGAATATCCGTACTATAGGAAGCAAGGTGTATAACTGAACCGTGGCGAACAGTTGATTAAACAAGTTATTGTGCATAGTGTGTATTCGTATTCTCGATCGCGCATGCGCAGTTGCCTAAGAAATATATAACCGTCTCCCATTTACTCGCAGTCGCACATACGAGAGAGTTAGTCATTAGACTAAAACTACGGATAACCCGTGTAATTCAGTGCTGTGGGATATTTTATGAGTCGACATAAAATTTTGAGATTTTCAAAGAAAAAAAATTTGAAAACACGTACAGGAGCCTCGTACGAAAACATGAATAATTCAACAAGCAACACGCACGGGGATCAGAATAAACTCAAATAATTTTCCGAAAATATTTGTTCTCTCTCACTGGAGCCTTATATTACTTGCTTCCGTTTCTTAGATGCGTATGAAGAAAAAAAAAGGATGATCTACCGGACTCTCATCCGCGAAGCTAGAGAATGCGTCAAGATCGCCGTTCTCTCGTAAAATCTCTTACCCAACAAAATTTAGCGCGACGTTGCCGACGATTTTTTTACTTTTTTTTTTTACTTCAATTCGTTAAGAACGGGCACAAAGTTCTAAAGGGTAAACGGTACAACAGGATAGGGGATTCGACGTAGAGGACCATCACCGACGGCACAGTGCTGCGAGTAATTAATATGATTGAACCCTCCAGGGCCTTCGGAGCACTCGGGCGAGCAACGAAGGGGTGCGCGAAGTGAGGTTGGCTAGGTGAAAGGGGGAGGAGAGGGGGGCGGGGGTTACTGGCAGGGTTGCTCCGAGCGATCAATAAATGCTGCCAGCCACCCCTGGACCACCTCTGTATATATGCCATACCCCCTGAGAGCAATGTGCTCTCTCACTCCTTCCTCTCCCTTTCCCCATACCTTTCTCTCTCGTTCTTGTCCCTCTTATACAGTACCATCTTTGTATTCAACCCCCGTTCCCCGTTCAACCCCCCCTCCCCCTTCCCTTATCCGACTCCACTCTTTTTCGTGCTGCTTTCTCTACTTCCCAAATGAGCCTTCACTCTCACTCTCTCTCCGCATCCCTGACACGCAGACGACGCACCCCCCCCCCCCCC